GGTTTTTATTCTTCCTTCTGTTAACAAGGTGCATCCCATCTGCTGTATATTATTGTGTGCTTCCCCCGCCTCCATGCTCCCACAACTATATAATCATCACAGACCTGTTTTCCTTTGGTCATCCATTTGTTCTTTAATGAGACCAACAAATTTCATTTACTTTCCAGAAAATGCTATTTTGTCTCAAGGATACCCCATGCATACTCTTTCAAAGTGCTAAGGGATTATTGGGATTATTCTTTATCCTGCTTAGAATTCCAAATACAACTTCAATCTAAGAATTGTGTCTTCTCCAATTCTGGGAAATGACCAGCTAGTATTTGTTCAAATATTGCTTCTCCACAATCTTCTGCAACTCTCCTCAGACCATGTTACAGCCTCAACCCATCCACCAAGCCCCGCAAGCTCTCTCATCATTCACGCAAGGTTCTGACCCAAGTTCTCAGAACTATCTTCTAACCATCAGCTCTCTACCTATGTCCACAGATGATCTTGCCTACCGACTTTTTAAAAAACGTTACTGACTGTATTTTTCATTTACAGAGTTCGGATTGGTTTTCCCCTCTTCTTCTGATGCTTTGTTCACAATAACTTTGTTTCTTTGGGTGGGGAGGAACGTCTTCATTCTGTGTATCTTTGTTTCTCTCCTCGAGCCTCCGAGCCTCCTCAGTCTTTATGCTGTTTAGTTGCTCAGTCGTGTCCAACTTTTTATGACCCCATGGACGGGCAGCACACCAGGCTTCCCTGTCCTTCACCATCTCCCAGTTTGCTGAAACTCACGTCCATTGAGTAGGTGATGCCACCCAACCATCTCATCCTCTGTTGCGCCCCTTCTCCTCCTGCCTTCAATCTTTCCCAACATCAAGGTCTTTTCCAATGAGTCGGCTCTACACATAGGAGGCCGAAGTATTGGAGCTTCAGCATCAGTCCTTTCAATGAATATTCAGGATTAATTTTGGTTTGATCTCTTTGCAGTCCAAGAACTCTCAGAGTCTTCTCTAGCACCACAGTTCAAAAACATCAATTCTTTGGAGCTCAGCCTTCTTTACGGTCCAACTCTCACACCTGCATGTGACCACTGGAAAAAACAAAGTTTTGACTATACAGACCCTTGTCGGAAAAGTGATGTCTCTGCTTTTTATATGCTGTCTAGGTTTGTCATAGCTTTTCTTCCAAGGAGTGTCTTTTAATTTCATGGCTGCAGTCACCATCCACAGTGGTTTTGGAGCCCAAGAAAATAAAGTCTGTCAGTTTCCATCATTTCCCCATCTACTTGCCATGAAGTGATAGAACCGGATGCCATGATCTTAAGTTTTTTGAATGTTGAGTTTTAAGCCAGTTTTTTCAGTCTCCTCTTTAACCTTCATCAAGTCTCTTTAGTTCCTCTTTGCTTTCTGCCATTAGGGCGGTATCCTCTGCATATCTGAGGTGCCTGCTCTGTGTAGGGGACCCTGCCCACTGAGGGGCAGGCTGATCCAGGCTGAGGTTCCCGCTGCTCCACCAGACAGAGGTTGGCTCTCTTTTCCCACTTGCTTTACGAGTGAGTCCATCCAGCTGTTGTCCAGGAAGATCCCCTGGAGGAGGTCATGGCAACCCTCCCCTCCCCCCCCCAGTATTCTTGCCTGGAGAATCCCGTGGACAGAGGAGCATTAGGGCCTACAGTCCACAAGGCGCACAGAGTTGGACAGCTTAGCAGGAGCCCACCCAGCCGCAGCTGTCCTCAGCCTCTCACCTGCATGGACCTCCGTGAACAGCTGTGACCTCACATGCTACAGTCCGCTTACCGATTTTCCCACTGCTGGACATGTTTTCCATCTTGTTATTATGAACGAAGTGACAATGAGCATCCTTGTATATCTTCTGTGAACATATAGTCTACTGGCTTCACATTTTCACCAGTATTTGGTAATGCTGGTCTTAGTTTCAGCCCTTCTACCCGGTGGGAAAGGGTAACTACCTGTGATTTTAATTTGGCATTCCCTCGTGACTCGACACAACTGCTCATATTCTTATTGGCCACTTGTGTGACTCCTTGGTGATGATGTGCTCATCTCTTTCCCACTGGTTCCACTTCACCTCAGTTTCAGTTGCAGTTCTCTATTTTCTGGATGGGAGTCCTCTGTCAGACTCACAGAGGTTACTCTTGTTCTAGCTGTCCACAATCTAACCTGTTCTTTTTGAAGAGCAGAAAAATTTCATTTTGATGGTAGCCTCATTTCTTTTCCCTTGTGATTTGTGTCCTAAGAATTCTTTGCCCATTGCAAAAAAAAAAAAAAAATTCTTTGCCCATTGCAAAGCTAATTAGATATTATTCTTTTCTTCTAGAAGCTTACGTAAATGCTTATGTTTTTAGACCCATCATCTGTTCTGTTTTTTCTGGGTGGGGGGAGGGGGAGCTGTGACACGTGGCTTGGGGACTCGTAGTTCCCTGACCAGGGATTGAACCCGGGCCCTCAGCAGTGAAAACACTAAGTTCTAACTATTGGATCACCAGGGAGTCCCCCATCAATTATTTTGTATTAATTTTTTTATATGGTGTTTGACAGGACCCAAGATTAATTTCTTCCCATACAGATAACCAGTTGCTGGCTGAAAAGACTTTCCTTTCCCTGTGTAATTGCCTTGGCAATGTTGTTGAAAATTAACTCACCATGTACCTGTGGGTCTACTCCTGGATTCTATTCCATTTCACTGATCTATTTCAGGAGCCGGCAAGCTTTCTCTGTAAGGGCCAGAGAATAAACATGTTGGGGTCTGCAGGCCGTATGACCTCTGTTGCAAAAACACAACTCTGCTAATGATCACGAGAGCAGCCAGCTGGGGTTGGGTCCAGGAGTAAGTATGAGCCCCTCAAAAGCCACTGCTCTTGTAACCCCGCCAAGTGTGATTCTCACACGCACACTGGTCTGTGTTCAAGCTATCTTGTTCACTATCCGGCGTTGCCTACTACAATGCCTGTAACATGTCTGCTGTTCGACTGGCCACTAAACACTCACTGTTTGATAGTCTCCACTCATCGCTCTACTCTGGCACCAAACTGACAAACTATAAGAAAAAATAAACACCGTAAGGATTTGACTGGGAGTGTACTATAGTAACAAAGTTACTGATACTGGCAGCTGATATTAGCTGAGCATTTAAACACTGAGCATTGTTCTTTAAATACTGAAAAGTTAATCTTCACGACTCTTGTCACTTGCTAGCTGGGCACCCTTCTCAAAACTAACTTCTGTGACCTTCTCATCCATGTGTGACATGAGGACAGCCTTCCATCTCGTAAAACTGCTGTGAAGGGAAGTTAATGCACATTAAGCTTTTAGAATCGTGCGTCAAGGTCTCAGTTTCGGTTAATAAGCAGAGAACTGTACAGGAGAAATGAGACAGAACCACCCAACGCCTTACGTCAGGTGGTATGAAACACCGTCGGCTGAGCGGTCCTTGTCTTTAAGCACACATAACCCATCCTGGAATAAATTCAGAGGCAGCACTTTGTTCTGCTCACTAGGTAAGTGGTGAAAGACTGGTATAGCCTGTAAGGGCAACGCCCAGACGCTGACCACTGAAATGAAGGGCTGAGCAGGAAAGGCGTCAGTAAGGACAGGAACAGTAAGCAGACGAAGAAGCTGAATCAAGGAAAGGATGAACACTGGCTGTGGAGTGGGGCAAGCAACTCAGCTCCTGCCTGTCACCGGGGCTCAGGCGCAGCAGACAGTGGACAGGGGCGTGCCTCTGTCCCGATAAAGCTGAACACAGGTGCTGGGCCAGCGCTGGGATGTGAGGTGGCTGACCCTGAAGCAGAAAGATTACTAAATCCATCTGACTGGAGTGAAGGCACCCGAGTTCTCCGGAGGTGCAGGCTGTAAACAGCTCAAATCCAGGCTCAAATTCAAGATTTACAAAGGCCAGCAGGTGATGTTAGTAGGAGGAGAAGCGAGTAAGGAGTTCATACTAACATTTTCTGTTTTACACCCATAAACTCATTGCTTTGGTTTTCCCACGTGACAAAAAAGCAGCTGAGACAGAAAAGTTCTCCATCCTGTGTGGGTGGAGTGGCCTGTGAGTGACGCCGGGCAGGTCCCGCGGCGTCCAGGTACGCAGAGGTGTATGTCCAGGCTAACACGGGGGCCTGGTGACCAGCTGGCTCTGGGGGATGGGTAACAACCAGGGGCACACTTTCTCATGCAAACAGATGGGGGAAAAGGGAAAGCGAGCAACTGTGATGTGGCGGCGGCGTTGTGGAACAACTGAGATATTTCACCTCCAGGTTACTGGCAGGTCTCGATGCCAGAGCCCCAGGCTGGGGAGGCGCTAAACACGGAGCACATATACACAGCAGGGAAGACACAAGCTCGCACAACGCTCCTGCCGTCGGCACTGACTGCCCTCGCCGTGGGGGCAGGACGCGTGTAGCTCGTCACCCGGCATGGCTCCTTCTCGCCAGCCCAGGATCTTGCGAAGGGAGCCTAACCCCTCAGAATCCAGTGGTGGTCCTCTCACGGCCCCAAACCCTGTCTGGTTACTAGAGCCCAAGCAAGGTACAGAGAAGACTTCTGGAAACAAAGAACCAGGCTTTATTTTGTTGTCTTTTTTTTTAAATACAGGTCTGGTATAATAGACATCTGTAGTCTTGCATTCAGCAGGGCCAACCCACAAAAATTAAAGTAGAAACTCAATGAGCGTGTACTCGCTCCAATCCCTGGGGCTGGCAGACTCCCACCCCCCAACAGACTCTGCACTGCCCACCCATGTCCCCTCCCTGCCAGGTGAGACGAGCAGAACACAACCCACCCCAAGGAGAAGCCCCAAGGGCCCTTCCATCAGCAGCGGGTGGGATGAACAAGATGCCAGGTTTACCTTGGGAGGGTGCAGAGGCCGAGGAGATCCAGCGGGTGCGGGACTGTGCGTGCAGCCCTGGAGCCAGGCGGTGCCCGCAGAGCTCTCCACCAGGCCAGACCAGGGCACGCCGGCCGCCAGCAGTCCCCGAGGTCCGGCCGCGCCTGTCAGCACCCTTGAGACCAGCGAGGGGAGGCCCGTCCTCTGGCGGCGTTGAGGGTCCAGGGGAGCGTGCTCGAGGACAGTGTCTTCTGAGAGGAGCTCCCGACAGAAAGGGTCCCTGAGTTGGTGCAGAGGCCAGCGCGGCAGCCCCACCGACTGTCCCAGGGCACGCGGCTGGCCCCACTGTCCTTGGGGGCTAGTCTGCCTCCAGAAACCTCACCAAGGGCCTCCACATCATTTACAGTGGAAAAGTAAACCAGAAATAAGGCATCAGACATTTGATTTTTTTTATTTCCATATGCAATGTAATGTTTAGGCACGCTGCTTGGGATGCTATTTCTAAAAAAATCGTTGGCCATTTTTCAGAATATCCTTTTGGTTTTAAATACTGGTCAGGAAAAACAAATGATGTAAAAATACGTGAATAATTTTCTATTACAGAAATGAAAAACTGATTTGCATCTAAAAGTGCAAGAGGTGAAGTAATTTAACCCTTTCACCAGACGATATGGCAATATACAATATATTGCTTCAGCTGTTTGAGAAGGCTGTGATGTATTTTTATATTGACATAGAAAATTATAAATTACATTGAATTAGTATCCATAATCACTATATATGTACACAAACCAGTTCTAAAAAAAAATACACTGGTTTAGAATTTACGAATGAGACCCTCACAAGGTGCAGTAAAACAATGAACATGCTGAGGTGCTGGACTCCGGTTTCTAGTTTAAAAAGGCTAGCCTGTAAAATGAACGCACTCTAATTCCATTAGCAGCACGAGCATTTTTCCACTGACTTGCCTAATATGATTCAGGTATGTTAAATATGCAGATTGCTCTGAAATGTTCATTGGTGATGCTTGTTATTAACAAGGTAAATTTTGGTGAATGGGTTAAAAGGCAGATGAACAACCAAAACAAAACATAAAACAAAGAAAAACCCAAACCACAAGCCATGTACACTCCAAATATTCTAGTGTTTCACCTGTAAGGATAAACAGTTCAAGCAAACAAGACTTTAACAGAACATATGGCTTTACAATAACACAATTTATCAACTAAGTTGTAGCAATAAATACTTAATCTCTACCAATAGACTTACATTTTTTGATCCGTTTTTAAACAATACAGAAAACAGTTACCAATTAAAAACTGGTTATAAAAAGAACACCAAATATTTCTTATTCAAAATCACTTTTGTAAGTTAGAACAACCAAAATAACACTTAGAGGGCATTTCAATCCTACAACTCCTTGTCAACCTGGAAGAAAAATGAATTCAGAATTTTGTACAAGGTGAAAAATGTATGAAAACTGCCTAATACTTTGGTCACACTAATAATTGTCAAATAGTTATGTTTCAAATACAATAGATCTGTGTATTCACTTTTATAAAACTATTCTTACAGCCATTTTAACTATAGTATTACTACTATTATTACATGGGTGGCAAGATCTTATTTCACAGGCTACCCATTATTTAGAACAATACAATATAAACATACGCAAAAATTCTTGGTATTTGTCAATGTGCAACATTTGTACACTTCTGGGTTTCTCTGTACAGCGTCTTAGACTAGAATAGAAAGCTTGCTGGTCCTGATCCCTTGCAGTGAGTGCGGCGGCGGCGGCTCGGCGGGCCCCCGCGGCGCCCGGAGCCCCGCCGGCGCGGCGCCCGCAGCCCTCGGTCAGCAGCACGGGGCTCCTCATCATACGGGGCCGTTGACCGCCGCATCGCCCGGCACGCTCGGCGGCTCGGTCCTGCAGGGGGGCGAGAGACTGCCTCAGGACTCCCAGAGAGACCCAACGGCGTGCCGCCCCGGCAGGGGGTGGATGACATTCATCAGAAGGCTGTTCATGGGCCCAGCACAAAGCCTGCACTCAGGAGTCACCCCATGACATGCTTCTTAAGTGAACGTTCCTAAAGCTCCAGAAACTTTAACTGCACAGCTCTAAGCTTCAGCTGGGGTTGACAAGGGCCACAGAGCAGCAGGTGCTGGGAGACCACCCCCAGCTCGCGGCCGGAAGCACAGGGGTGGAAGGGCCGGGGTCCGAAGCCCCTGTTCCCTGAGCCTTCAGGAGCCATCTGATCACCCCTCCTTCAGCACAGCTTTTCATGTCCCATACACTGCCACTCACATGAAATTTCACTTGGAAAAGTAGGATTCTGCGACTCAGAGAAGAGGTGGGGTGGGGGAGGAAACAGACTGTAAAAGGACCAACTTTGAGAACATAGGAGTGCCCTGTAACACGTGCTCCCATGAAGCTAACGTCAGGGTAACACTGCTCTGTGTGTGTGTGATGACAGGGTACCCAGTGTGTGTGTGTGTGTGTGTGATGACAGGGTACCCAGTGTGTGTGTGATGACAGGGTACCCAGTGTGTGTGTGTGTGTGTGATGACAGGGTACCCAGTGTGTGTGTGTGTGTGTGTGTGATGACAGGGTACCCAGTGTGTGTGTGTGTGTGATGACAGGGTACCCAGTGTGTGTGTGTGTGATGACAGGGTACCCAGTGTGTGTGTGTGTGTGTGTGTGTGTGTGTGTGATGACAGGGTACCCAGTGTGTGTGTGTGTGTGTGTGTGTGTGTGATGACAGGGTACCTGTGTGTGTGTGTGTGTGTGTGTGTGTGTGTGTGTGTGTGTGTGTGTGTGTGTGTGTGTGTGTGTGTGTGTGTGTGTGTGTGTGTGTGTGTGTGTGTGTGTGTGATGACAGGGTACCCAGGACCTTCCTGCCAAAACCACAACTGGAGCATGTTAAGACATTCTTCATGGTGTTTCCAAAATCTTACAAAGTAGACCCAGGAAAGGAGACAGCGCTGACAGCAGGCAGCACAAGGACTCCTGGCCCAGCATCCGCTGCTTCAGCCCCTGCCAATCCCAACAGAGCTCCGTGAGGTCAGCACCACACTCACGGCAGACTCGACCCGCACTTGAGGCTGTCTTCCTTACGCCACAGACACAGGGCCTGCCTTCACCACCCACGAGCTGTGTGATCTTCAGTAAACTTCTCAACCTCTCTCATTTTTTCCCCCTGTAAAAGGGGGACAGTAAGTCCCCACAGATATTAGTAGGTCTACAATGTATGCAAAATGCCTATTTTGCACACTAATGGCAAATAACACACACACTCGATCAACACTGAAAGATAACATTTTGTGGCAACAGACATCAAGTAAACAGTGTACCTACAGCCTCGTATCTGGTAGATGGACCCCCAAGAGTAAGATTGCACATGAAGTCCCAAACAGCTGTCTCCATCTTCAGCACCGCTTCACATACGCTGCTCTCGGCATGCGGCCGGACGCATCAGCAGGCCTGCCTCTGTCCCTGTGGGCAGGCATCCGCCTCCCAGAGCGCCCCTTCCAGTCCTTCACCCGGCGGCATGCAGTCTTCACGCCCCCATGTTATCTGTGGGCCTATCACCAGGACCAAACCAGGGGCGGCCGCGCTCCAATGTGTGATGCCCCCTCCCTCTCCTCCTGCTGGCTCTCCCCACCTGCTCCTCCACCACCGGAGGCCTGCAGGTTGGGAGATGTTTCTAGGCTCGGAGAAGAACACGCGGGTTTCCCCTGGGGCAGACACCCCTGCACTCCAGAGAGCCCAGTAACTGCTCCCACAGGCCTGCACCACTCACATCAGAGAAAGCAGACCCGGGGGCCACGACTCCAGAGTAGGCAGGTTAGCTAGCTTGTAGGCTGTGCACAACATAAAGGAAATTTACAGGCAGACAGTACGGAGATGATGATAACCGATTAGAAGTCAGATCTACGGAGGACCTCTGGAAAAACAAAGGAAAAACCCCAGGCAAAAAATGACTTACCTAGACCCTGAGCAGCACAGCTCTGGCTGGACCCCCAGAGCTAGAGGGTCCCTTTTTGGGGACTCTTTCTCCCAAATCCTCCACTAGAGCCAACAGGCACAAGTAGTTCTTATAACTGATTCAGTTTATACAAAGTCACTAATTACAAAAGCAAAGCCCTCATTCTAGCCGCAATTTCCAGGAGAAAGAAAAGCCGGGTCTGCTACGCAGTTTACAGACTTGTGAACTGAGAGCGCCCCCTGTTTGTGACCACTGGTTATACTGCCCCTAAAATGCCTGGATTTTAGGGGGTCAGGTGAGCAGAAAGCACTTCCCTGAAAAGGCTTCCTAAAGTTACTCTATACCCTATGGAAGGAATATACAATCAAAAAAGGATACATTTTTGATTATATATAGGATATATTAAATATATATTGGAAATATTCAATCAAAGAGGTTCCCTCTGGGCTGAGCAGAGGTCTGCGTGGTCCAAGGCAAGCTCTGCAGCAGCAGGAGGCTGTCCTGGCTTGTGGGGCCTACGGTGGCCCTGGGGGGGCTGGGGCTTGGCCTGTCCCTCCAGACCACCGGCTCAGGCAACTAGAGAGAAAGTGTTATATTGCAAATCCCTTGACTCTGCAGGTAGGAGCTTCACACTTCACCTGGACAAGATACATATTTTGCAAAAATAAAAGCAGAGAGGGACTCACAGCAGAGCTGAGAACCCTGAGCTGACACCCAGGGAGCTGCACTCTGGGAAGCCACCTGGGTGTCACGCGACCACGTCTGCACAAGGGGCCACAGGGGCCGCTTGTCTTGGTAACTGGGGGACTGCAGGCAAGAGGGAGCCCAATCCTGGAGGGGCTCAGGATCAGCCCCAACTTGGTGCCCCTTCAAGAAAAACAGGAGGGGGTATGCCAGCACGAGAGACCCTGCCATCCCCAACAACTTCTCAGAGAACCAGGGACACTACCTCTGAGAAGCAGTTTTCAGCTTCTGGGCTAGGAGGTGAACTGCGACGTTTAAGTTCTCAGCTCGGTCACCTGGCTGCCACAGAGCTGAGGGACACTGCCATGCTAAGCAGTCACTGATCCCCTGAGGACGACTGTAATGACCCCTCACCCCCAGGCCCGCGCCCCTCCTGGCTCCCAGGAGACAGAGCGGGGCAAGGCTGAGGCCAGCTGGCAGGAAGCAGGCACTCACCTCTGCTCTGGGCTGCTGCTGGGGGGCCGGGTGGCCACAGACTTGCCCTCCGCCGTCTCAGGGCTCTCCTCCACGTCTTTACAAGCAGCATCTTGAGAGGTAGACAGTTTTCCTTCCTCACTGCATAAAGAGGATGACAGGCAGTGTGAGAGGCCGAGGCGGCACCAGCGGGCAGAGGATGAGGACGCATGCGATGGCTCTGAAGTCATGGTGTCCATGGAGCCAAGCCTGGGGCTGGGCATGCTTGGGGAGGGGGTGCAGGGGCACAGACACGCTGGGGAGGCCACGGAAGGGGAGGACCACACACGTGGGAGCCGAGAGAGGGACGATGTGATGCAGTTGGTGTCTGGTAAAGAACGGCCCCGCGGCACTGTACATACCGGTAGGATCTCAACACTCTGAGGCCAAGGGTGCAAAACAGAAAAAGAAATGGACAAGACTTTCAGAATACTCCTAAAATGAGGTATTTGGGGGAATACTATGTCCACGACTGCACATAAGCAAAACTGCAGGCTCGGAGAAGGTGTCAAATGAACCTGTTTGAAGGAATGAGTCTTCAGTTAAAGGTTTTGCACCCAGGGCCAAGCCCCCCATCGGCTTGCTGGCTGAGGTCCCGGAAGCAGGAGGCCATGCAGCTGAGCCAGGACCAGCTTCTCGAGCTGTCTCTGACAAGGCCTGAGAAGGACAAACCATGGCGGGAGAGAGTGGGAACAGTGGCCAGGACCGGGGCAAACCAAGCCTTAAGGGGTCAGAGAGCTTGGGGAAATGAAACACCAAAGGATGGTTTCCCCCCAGATGGTCCTGGCTCTCCATTCTCTGTGGACTGGAAACTTTATAAGACTCCGGCCTGTTCTGTCCGATTTCCCGTTTTTTTGTGACACAATTCAAGACAGCGCTGGACAGACCCTGAGCGCAGCTGCAGGTCCCACTATCCTTAATGCTGGGTCCTAGCTTCCATCTGCTCGTGAGAAACCTCATTTTAGGATAACTTCTGAGTGGTTTTCAGATGGCTCAGGGCAATACATTTATGGGAAGGGACCCGAAGTCTAGCCCATTCCTCCTCCTAATTCATCCCCACTCTCCACTCCCTGCCCAACGCAGCTATGCTGATGTATTCCATGCCTGTTACCTTCATTGTTGTAAAAGGTACAGTCATTTTACCCATGTGGATTCTGAGACCAATGGCTGGTCATGAATTGCACCCTCCCTGCACTCAGGACTGTCCGAGCACAGCTAGGAGCTCCCTCAGCCCTGCTGACTGTAGCACGGCACCCCGAGGCGCCCACCTCCCGTTCCACAGCGCCCCTCGCGGAGACCAGAGCCTCCATGCACAAAGCTGCAATGGCCGCCACTGCCTGCCTCCGCCCCAGGGGACCCCCTCGGGCACCTCTCAGGGCTTCACACCCAAGACTGGAAAACGCTGGCCATCCTTCCAACTACAAGGAAGCCCCCACTGCCCCCGAGAATGCCTGCCCCGGTCAGCACCCACCATGAGCAGGGCCTTGGGGCTCCTGCAGCCCCACACCCACCAACACTCACGTTCCCCATCGTTCCCACTCCTGCTGGTCTAATAAGGTGTCTGAGTTCTCAGAATCTCTTCTGAGTTTTTCTTCTTTTTGCCACTTTGGGTTCCCTTGTCTATAAACTGCCTGTTGATATTTTTTGCCCATTTTCTGATCTGGGTTTTCATTCTTTTCCTTACTGGTTTGAATATTAAAAGCTAATTTCTGACTGATTTAGAACTGTAAACTTTTCCCCCTTAATTTGCCATCTGCCTCTTAATTTTGTTTACAGTAATTTATCAACCAGAAATTCTTCACTTTGATATAACCCAATCCTATTCTTTGCATGAGGTTTATGTTTTTAAAGGCAGTTTGTTTTGTTTCAGAAAGAAGCCACTTTCTGCCCTCAGGTCAGAACACTGCGTTTTCTTCTAACCACTGTGAGACTTTGGCCACACCACTTAATTCCAGCACCGCATTTTCCCATCTGGAAAGTGGGATGATAACCATGGCGCTTTCAGTTTTAATCATATACAACTAAATTTTTTTCCCAAATGAGCCATCAAAAATGTCAAATGACTTCTTCATTCTATTAATATGCACTGAATTACACAGATTTTCTGATGCTGAATCACCTTTACAGTTCAGGGATGAACTGGTCACTATGAATATTTTTAGTATACTGTTAGGTTCAGTTAGCAAATATTTTACATAGGATTTTTGCATTTAGTTTGCCTATAAGTGACATAAGCTGATCATTTTCTGTAATTATCTTCATCTGGTTCCGGAATTAGGCTTTCATTGCTTCATAAAAAGATTCAGGCAGTTTTGGCACTTTTTTATTTTCTGTAACAACTTAGGAATTAACAGATCAACATGTAACATGCATGAAACAGCACTGAATCATCACCATCACTGACAAAAGCCTGACCCATTAGTCAGTCTGCTACTTTTTCCCTTTGCAAATAATGCCTTGTTTGTACCCTCTGTCAAATTTAAAAAGTTATTTATTGTCTCTTCCTTTGATTTCTATATCTTGTGTATTTCTTTGCTAGTTATGTTTCATTTTACTGTGTCTTTTAGAAGACTAGAAATCTTGTCTTTCATACCTATATGAGAACAGAGGTTTAACTTGTCCTCTCACATGGGTATTTACAATGCATCAGTCCTTTCTCTCTTCACTAACTTAAGTCACCTGACCACGTCAGTGTACGGGTCTGCCTGTACAGCTCTGTGCATCATCTTAGTAACAGGGAGCCCTGACAGCTACCACAGTGAGGCCCCTCACCCTCCTCTTTACAGTGATCCTGCTCTTCACGGCTCTCCTCAGCCTTCTCTGAAAATTACAATCAGCGTCTCCCTTTCATAAAAAACTCCATTGGGATTTTGAGGAGAAATCCATTGAGAAGCAACGCCAAAGTTAGCAAACGTGCTGTGTGAAGTCACTTCAGTCATGTCTGACTCTTGGCGACCCTATGGACTGTGGCCCACTAGGCTCCTCTGTCCTTGAGATTCTCCAGGCAAGAACTGGAGTAGGTTGCCACGCCCTCCTCCGGGGGCCTTCTCGACCCAGGGATCGAACCCATACCTCTTATGTCTCCTGCATTGGCAGGCAGGTTCTTTACCACTAGTGCCACCTGGGAAGCCCTTCTGGCAAACATAGTGATTAGCAAACTATAAAAGGTCTTAATAACCTGGATAACCACGATGGTGTAGTCACTCACCTCAAGCCAGACATCCTGGAGTATGAAGCCAACTAGGCCTTAGGAAACATTTTGACAAACAAAGCTGGTGGAGGTGATGGAATTCCAACTAAGCTGTTTCAAATTCTAAAAGATGATGCTGTGAAAGTGTTGCACTCAATACGCCAGCAAATTTGGAAAACTCAGCAGTGGCCACAGGACTGGAAAAGGTCAGTTTTCATTTTCATTCCACCCCAAAAAAGGCAATGCCAAAGAATGTTTAAACTATAATACAACTGCACTCGTTTCACATGCTCGCAAGGTAATCAGTACATGAACTGAGAACTTCCAGATGTATAAGATGGACTTAGAAAAGGCAGAGGAACCAGAGATCAAATTGTCAACATTCACTGGATCACAGAGAAAGCAAGGGAATTCCAGAAAAACATCTACTTCTGCTTCATTGACTATACTAAAGCCTTTGACTGTATGGATCACAACAAACTGTGGAAAATTCTTAAAGACATGGGAATACCAGATGACCTTACCTGTCTCCTAAAAAACCTGTATGTGGGTCAAGAAGCAACAGTTAGAACCAGACATGGAACAACAGACTGGTTCCAAACTGGGAAAGGAGTATGTCAAGTGTATACACTGTTACCACCCTGTTTACTTAACTTCTATTCAGAGTACATCAAGTGAAATGCCAGGCTGGATAAATCACAAGCTGGAAGCAAGACTGCTGGGAGAAATAGAAACAACCTCAGATATGCAGATGATACCACCCTAATGGCAGAAAACAGAGAGGAACTTAAAGAGCCTCTCGATGAGGGTGAAACAGGAGTGAAAAAGCTGGCTTAAAACTCAACATTCAAAAAACTAAGATCATGGTATCCAGTCCCATCACTTCATGGTAAATAGAAGGGCAAAGAGTGGAAACAGTGACAAATTTTATTTTCCTGGGCTCCAAAATCACTGCAGATGGTGGCTGTAGCCATGAAATTAAAAGACGCTTGCTCCTTGGAAGGAAAGCTATGATAAACCTAGACAGTGTATTAAAAAGCAGAGACATCACTTTACCGGCAATGGTCCATATAGTCAAAGAAATGGTTTTACCAGTAGTCGTGTACAGATAAGCGAGTTGGACCATAATGAAGGCTGAGCACCAAAGAATAGATGCTTTTGAATTGTAGTGCTGGAGAAGACTCCTGAGAGGCCCTTAAACTGCAGGGAGATCAAACTGGTCAATCCTAAAGGAAAATCAACCCTTCACCAGAAGGACTGATGCTGAAGCTCTAATACTTTGGCCAGGAAAAGCCATTGATGCTGGGAAAGACTGAGGGCAGGAAGAGAAAGGGGCAACAGAGGATGAGATGACTGGATAGCATCACCAACTTAACAGACAGGAGTTTGAGCAAACTCTGGGAAATTTTAGTGAAGAACAGAGAAGCCTGGTGCACTGTAGTCCCTGGAGTCGCAAACTCTGACATGATTTAGCGACTAAACAACAAGGAAACATGGTATTGATATCTCTCCCTACGTATTTAGGTCTTTTGGTCTCAGTTACAGACAAGGTTTAACTTTTCATTTAAAGGGGGAAGGGGATCTTGTGCTAGCTTCTAAGATGCAATCAATTTGTGGGTGTATTTAGTAAACTTGCTAAACTTTACTAGCAATTCTAATGTTTACCTACAGATTCCACTGGAATTTTTCATATACAAAGTCATAACCTACAAATAACCTACAGTTCATGGGGTCACAAAGAGTCAGACACAACTGAGTTAACTGAACTAAACCTACAAATAAACAATAACCATTCTACTTCTTTTCAATTTGTATGCCTTTTACTTACTTTTATTTTATGCTGCATATGCTAAGACCAGCAGCACAGTGCTGATGAGAAGCAGTAACTGCAGGGCTCACTGTCTTGTCTTGGAAAATGAGTATTTCTTTAAAATAATGTTTCACTGTTAAGAATAGAGTCTGCTGTAGATTTTCAGTGGATACTTTTATCAGTAGCTACTTCTTATTCCTAGCTTGCTAAATAGTCACAAATAGCTTTAATTTTTATCAAACTTTTTTTTACCTACTGAAAGTCCAAAAGGTTTCCAACCTTTTATCAGTGAATTACCATCAGTAATCTTTAAAATGCTATAATATTCTTACATTCATGAGATATATCCTTGGTCATGAGTTAAAAACACACCACTGGATTTGGTTTGCTAGCTTGTAACTTTGAAGTATTCTATATATAGACCCACACATGAAATCAGCCTACAATACTTTCTTCTTTCATGCTTTGTTTTGTGTTGGCTTCACAAGTTGGGAAGCATTATTCTTGTGATATGAAAGGGTCTGTGTAAGATGGAGACCAGAGCTCTAAGCACTGATTTAGCTGCAGTCTGTGGGTTTTGGTCGAACTTTTTTCACTACTTTTTCAGTTTTGCTTTTAATTTGCATTATGATTCCTTTTTTGACCCGTAAGTTTACAAGTGAGAGTAATTTCCAAATATGTTTTTGTAAGCTATCATTCTGTCACTGAATTCTGCTAGTTGCATTGTGTCTGGAGGAAATGATCTGTATAAGATCAAACTTGTGGTTTAGATGGCCTTAGCTTTGTTGCCTGTATCCAATGCAATTCCTGTTTCTAGAGGTATATCAGTTTTTTAAACTCATGTATTTTGAATCCATCAGTCTTCTCAACCTTTAGTCTTCAAAATACTATTAAAAGGGGAAGGGCACAGATACCGAGAGACCCAAACTCCATCTCTTTGTTAAGATTTAATAAATTTAATGGAAATATTAGAATGATGTCAAGCTAATGTCTGAACCCACACTGGAACCAAATTAAGGATGTTAGTATTTGTGGCTTCTCCTCCACCACCCTCCCGGCAACCTGAAGCTGCCAGTATGACCGAGCCTGGTTACCTTTTGAAGACCGCAGTTTCTGTCTTGGCATCTACCGTGAGGCTGAGAGTTTCCTTCATGCCGCCATTCATCACTGTCTCAGTTACCTTGTCTGTACTTTCCGCATCCTCCTCGCCATCGGAGCTGGCTTCCATGGCCACACTGCCCGGCGCTGAAAAGAACACACGGCCGGTGGTCATGTGCACCCACACTGACTGGGACCTCTGCCCCTCTGTGCAGACCCATCCACCCAGCGTCACCTCAGCTGCTTGGAGACAGAGAGACATGAGATGATGTGCCCGCTGGTGCCTCTTAATGACGCCCATGAGACAGGAGCTGCATGGGGTCCCTGCAGCCCAGGACCAGCTAGACCCCCAGTCTCTCCCACTACCTGCATACCCAACTTCCCTCAAGACGACTGCCCTGCCCCTCCCTTCTCCAGCTCCCAGCACAGGGCAGAGTAGGCGGCCGTACGTGCTGCAGCTACAACCCAGCATTCAGCCGGCAATGCTCTCATTCACCCTGCTCCTCTGGCTTGTCCACACTCGCGTCCTATTTTTTTCTGTTAAATTACCTTTTTGTGGTACTCTGTGGATCATTTTTTTGTCCTACGAGAGGGAGTCATGTGGTAACCTGGTGATGAGCATCTGAATTCATATCTGGCCTCAGAGCCCAGGTCAAAGCAGCCCATCTGGGCCTGAATTTTCTTATGAACAAAACAGGAGGCGTTTGAACCCCCTTATAGAACTGCTCAGGGATAAATTAGGTCATCTATATGGAATGTTTTAGAAGAACGACTTAGTAAGTGGCAAAACACTTATTTCTGGATTTATTTCCCTTGCCCCTTGGTTCTTGTACCCTACACATGTACCATCATTTTCTGAGAACTAACTTTTTGTCTTCTCCATGAACTACCAATCCCTCCTTCTCGCCCCTTCACCAACCTCCCACAGCCCTAATCATCAGGTTGGAGACAGTTCAGTGCCCATGCAAGTTACACCTGCCGATTCTGAGTAAGACAGCCACTGGACATCCTCAACCATTTCGCCTGTTCATAAAGATGCAAAGAAATAAACAACTACACAGCCTGAAATGCAGCCAGACAGCACACTCCAAGGAATAAAAGCACCAGGTGCAGCCAGGCCTGAGGCACCCATGACAAGACAAGTGCTGGTCTCACTCCCCCTGGGTGTTGCAGGCTAAGACATCATCCTTTCTGGGCCTGTTTCTTTTCCTGTCCTGTCCTGAGGGGACTGAATGGCAACTTAGATACCTTACTCCTTCTAGGATCAGCATGCTGTGGTTCTGGAATAAACACACAACTGCTTTTCACCCAAAGCCCTGAGGATATCAGACCCACATTTTCCTGGGTCCTTTGAACCCTTGAACTTTTTTTAGAAAGCTGCTTTGCGGACAAAGACAACTTTCCAGATCTAGGGAACTCAGCGTCACATTCCAGAGCGATCACCCGCCAGGAAAGCAGTCCGCCAGCCCCGGACCAAACACCGCTGGGAGGGCAGTCCGCCGCCCAGACCCACCTTCCGGCTGCACAGCCAGCGCAGCCACGCTGGGCGTCAGTGGGTCCATCGGCTCGGCGCTGGTTTCCATCTCCACTGGGGAGTTACTCCGTAAAGAGTCTTTCGTACTGTTAGAAAAGAGAAAATTCAGAGGTGAGCAGTGGGAGACGGCCCTCGAGATCATCATTCACAGAAAACCTTTGAACACTAGTTCCAAATACACTGTGGAGACACAGCTGGTTAGACTCCAAGAAACACAAACACGAGTGTGGACGGCAGAGTGGAGTGGCGGATGAGCCGAGGTGGGAGATGTTCTGCTGGCTCAGCAGGGCAGAGTGTCTCAAGATGCCCCAGCCCCTCATGCTCACACAACCATCAGGCTCCCGAGGCTGGGACAGTAGTGCATACACTGTACACTAACAACTGTCTCTACAGTTCCATTTTAACAAAAATCCTATCATCTCTAGGCAAACCGCCCAGAGGGCCTGGCCCTATTGATGATGTTTAGTGAGACAACATGGCCCTGAACAAGGCTTGTAAAGGGAAGCAGCTGCTTCAGCAGCATTCTCAAGTAACCAGAAGAGCAGAGGTGGAAACCTGGCTGCCCTGCGCGGGAGGAGAACCAGCATCTCACTGTATTTTGGAGACATTTCCCATAAATCTCACTTCACCTCTGAATAACGGTTCACTATTATCAGAGTTGCTATAAAGCAATGTGGGTTTTAGTCTCCTCTCTGATTTGTCTACAATGGTAACTGCTAGCTAACATCAGGTTGTCTTCTAATCTTTGCCATTACAGTGACTATTTAAAAACATGTCTTGTTAGAACAGGGAAAAAAAGTTTTTCAAGTTGGGGGGTAGAAATCTCCACTCCATTTTTTCAGGAGACAAAATGAAACAACAGTAATCAAATCAAAATAAGTGTAAGGACACATGAAATCCATGGTTAATGCTCAATGCTGACAATATTATTCAGGAAAACTACAAAATGATCAGTTGCTATTGCTGAGAATAATGCAATTAACAAGACTGACAGTCACACCTGACACACCCCTAAATTTACAGTACTAGATTAGCTCCAAGCTGAATATACGTTCAACATTATCTATCAAATGCAAGGTACATGCTGCATTTCCGGATGCGCCCCTCGGGAACGCCCTGGCTCCATCTCGTCTGAAGCCTGTCCTGGCTCCACCGTTAGCGCTCTGCTCCCTGCCTCCCTGGGCCATCTCCTCAGCCCACTTTACCATCCACTCCTCCTCTCAGTTCACCCTGGAGGAAAGGAGGGAGGAAGGGGGTGGTTTTTCCTTGTAACTCAGAGCTGTGTCTACATCCCCCACCCCCACCCCCGCCCCCGTTGACTTTTCAATCTTGTTTAAGGCACTATATTCAACTGGGAACATGCTTCACGCCCGGTTCTCAGGTGGGAAGGCTTGGAGAGCCGCGCATGCGCTCACCTCAGGGAAGACGTGAACTCTGAGAAAGAAGCCCAGCCTGTCTCCTTCGTCGGCATAGGCTCCTCCGTGCTCCAGACGTCAGACCCCACGGAGTCTAAGGGAGAACCATGCGTCGTCTCCATGGGGACATCAAAGTTGGCTGACCAGTTGGGTGCTAAAAAGAGGGGAGGAATTCCACTTTGAGAATGCTTCAGTAATTTAATGTAACACAAGTATTTAAGTAAAACAAAGACTGCAGGTGTTGGGCAAAGGGTATTCTGACACACCAGTGGTGGAAGTGGATAAGGTACGACCATGTGGAGGGCCATTCGATAACGTCTACTATAAAACTGTGTGTTTCCTTTGATCCCTTAGTAACTCCCCTTTCTGTGAATTTTTTTTTCCAACAGCGATTATCACACAAGAATACAAACACATAAAACAATATACTGATGTTAATTTCTTGATTTTGACAAATATACCAAAGTTACATGAATACTAGGAGGAAGATGGGTGAAGGGTATACAGCCACTTCCTGACAATCTCTGCACCTTTTCTGTAAATCCAAAATTAGTATAAAATAAATAGTTTTTTAAAAGCATGTTAGTACTCAGTCACAGTAACCTGGGGACAACCTCAAGGCTTCCCGCCCCATCCCCCTCCACACACTCACAGCCACCCTGCAGTCTATACCTGAGCGCACAGCAGCGGGCTTCCTGTGACACAATGAGGAATACAGGCTTAGTCTCTGCCCACCCCACTGCCATCTCTGAAGTGAAAAAGGTTTTCTGTATCTTATGAGAAGAGACTGGGAACTCCTGGAGACCCTCAGGATGGGGACTGGGGGAGTGGGGCAACCAAGTGTTTACAGGGTTTGAACTTTGGGCCCTTCCCCACCACCCCTCCGCCAACCTTCTAGAAGGGTAAGGGGCTAGAGGTCAAGTTAATCACTAATAACCAAAGATTTCACCAATCATGCCCACTCAGCAAGGTCCCCATGAACACCCAAGCTGCAGGGCTTCAGGGCTTCTGGATTGGAGACTCCACTGGGGACCCAAGCTCCTGCCCATGGGACCCTGAGGACCCATCCTGTTCATTTGCAGCCTTTAATATATCCTTTGTAATCAACTGGTAATTGTAGGTAAAGGGTTTTTCTGAATTCTGTGAGCAGTTCTACCAAATAATCAAACCCAAAGAGGTCACAGGAACTCCCAGTTTACAGCCAGCTGGTCAGAAGTACCAGCGGGGGTGGGGATGGGCGGCCGGCTCGTGGGATAAGTGAGCCCTAACCTGTGGGTCTGACTCGGACGGTCAGTGCCTCGGCTGAGCTGTGTGGGAGACTCACACATTTGGTGTCGGGAGTGAAGTTCTGAGAGCAGAGGTCCTGCAGGCACGGGACCATGCTCAGAGACGGGGGTGGCAGGACCGAGGGGCGCTGGGCCCTGTCTGTGCTGTGGTTTGGGCGCTGCCCGTCTCTCTGTTTAAATGCCACCCCCCGGGGTGTGTCCCTTCAGACGAAATCAGGTCTGCTTGCTCTCAGCACACACCAGGCTGTTCCTACACAGTACCCACACTGAATGCCCAAATCCTTGCTACAAATCCCCTGGCAGTGGGGACCACCGCTCTTTATCAGGGATGCTTTCTATTACAATTTGGAGGCTCCAGGCTGTAAGGAAGGAATGCTAGGCTACGGGATCCGCGAGCTACTTGGGGATGCTCCTCAAGACAAACGACCAAGAAGGACCTGTGTATAACAGAAGTGCTCCCACTTACAGACAGACCTTCCTGGGACTCCAGGCAACTTACTCAGCTCCCCCTGCGCTAGGTTTCCTCATTTGTTCACTTCAGATAAAACCATCTACTTAGTCCTGAGGGTTAAATGAGGGCCACATCTAGCAGGTACTGAAGGAGGGCTGTTTCTGAGTTTCCTACCCTCTGATTTGTGTACCCATGTAGCAGGGCTCTGTGGGCTCAGAAGGAATAGGACCTTAATGTCTGAAAACCTCACCTGCAACGTCAGAAAGTCAAAAAAGTGAAAGTGTTAGTCGCTCAGTCATGTCTGACTCTCTGTGACCCCAGAGACTGTAACCCACCAAGCTCCTCTGTCCATGGGATTCTCCAGGCAAGAATACTGGAACTTGTTGCCATTTCCTTCTCCAGGGGATCTTCCTGACCCAGGAATTGAACCCGGGTCTCCTGAATTGCAGGCAGATTCTTTACCATCTGAGCCTCCAGGGAAGGTGACAGGTTATTTCTGCCTGCCCACCATATACAAAGTTCTGGATTCACTCCATCCAAATAAACTAGGCTACACAGAAATGACTATTGTTAGTCATTTCCTATTATTATCATCCCAGGATAGTCTTTCCCAGACTAGCTCCCCAGAATTACCCTAACATTAGGAACTCTTCTCAAGAGTCAAGAAAACCTCTGGAAAAAGCCACAGAGATTAGGTGGACGGCGGAAGCTCTCAAGTCAGAGGCTGAGGCAGCTCAGAGTCCTGGAGGGGGGCACTCCCCACCCCTGGTCCCACCCCAACCTCAGCTGACCTGCCGGTGCAAAGAAAGCTTTCCCGAGCAGCAAGATCAGGAGGGCTGAGACCTGTGAGTAAACATCACACTCCCACCCCTCATCTCTCCCTGTCCCCACACCCAGCTCCAGAGACACCATGACAGTGGGAGTGAGTCACACCAAGTGTATGGTCTCTCTCCAAGTCACCTGTCACCCACTCAGCAATCTCACAGATCCATAGACTCCAAAATATCATTCAGCCTTAAGAAAGAGTAATAAAATCCTGCTACACACTTGAACATGGATGAACCTGGAGGGCACCATGCTAAGGGAAGTAAACCAGTCACAAAAAAACAAAACACTCCATGATTCCACTTAGGATGAGGTCCCTAGAAGAGTCCAATTCAGAGACAGGAGGTAGAACGGTGGTCGCCAGGGGCTGGGGAAAGGGGAACGGCGAGTGCTGTTTATGGGTATAGCTTCAGCTTTGCAAGGTGAGAAAGTTCCCGAGGCTCCACTGCACAACAGCATGAATACACAATACTACTGAACCACACACATGCGTGTGCGTACGCGCACTCGCGCGCACACACACACACACACACACAGGCAAGCCCAAAGCTCAGGGCCTGCGGCCTCTCTTCGCCCCCCTCTGCCACCTGCCCCGCTCCTGATGAGCCCCGTCATTTCTCACGTGTCACACTGAGTGTCGCTGCTGGTCTTCCCGTCCCCGAGCACACTTTCTAATTCAGCTTTCACACTGCTACCAAGAGTAATCATGTCGAAACAGATCAAATAACAGGATTCTTAGTAAAATCCTCAGAAAGAGGATTACAACCTTCAAAATAAAATTCTCCTTCTGGCTTCTGGCCTCATCTCCTCCATCCCACCCTTTTCCTGAGCTACATTCACGAGCGGCGGGTCTCTGTGCCTTCCTAGGAGCTGTTTTCCTGCAAGCGGACTCACCCCTAGTTGCCCTCACGACACACCCCGTCCTCTGGGAGGGCTCTGCAGAGGCCTAGGGGAGCGGGGCCCCCGGCCTCCCCACACTGGACTGCATGTCTCTCCATCTGCTCAGAAACTCCGAGGCCCTGGAGGCCGTGCCTGAGCCCCAGCTGCTGGCACACAGCAGGAACCTGACACAGGCCGGCTGGTGTGAACAGCGTCACGCCCTCCTGAAGGTGGTGAGCCAGGAGGAGAGAGGGGACAGAGGACGTGGACCGCATGGGGTCTGCTGGATGCCTGCCGAGTTCCGAGCTCACGAAGAGTTGAACCTGACCCCCAGAGCCGGATTTCGGCCTCTAGAACCGAGGCATAAAACCCTCCCAGGCAACAGGAAGCACTGTTGGCCTGGAGGAAAGCCCCGGTATCAACCTACATGGCTACTTTATGTGAGAATTTGTCTGAAATTTTAGAAATTAACAGTATTTTTAAAAGGCCAGTCAATGTAAGTCTTCTTATGTAAAACATAAATAAGCATTTAGCTGGGCAACTTTTAGGATGACAGGATTCATAAACTGTGAAGACCCTGTTTAAACCTGCTCCAACTATAGGGTGTTTCCTGTGGTTTAGGTGCACTCCTGATTCTACAGTCTTCCCTCATCTCCCCAGAGGCTACGGTCTCTCCACTTCTGATACGGTACCCAGTCTCTGCAGCTGGAGGACGGACCTACGGCTGTGTTGCTGTCCTCTAACCAGATGCAGGCAGAGGGCTTTCAAACCATAAAGAGGTATGACTGGTTCCTTCCCTCCAGCCTGGTCCCTGAGACGTACACCTTCAAGGGAACTCAAATGACAGCGTGTGCCTCCACTTAACCATCCTTCAGAGGCCACCTGGGTTCTGCAGGCGACCTCCACACAGTGCTGACAGAGAAGGTGGCCACTTACGTTCGTTCAAGTCTACCTCCATTTTGTCCTCCGCGTTGGCACCACTGGACTCAAACAAGTCTTGTTTTGCTCCATCTTCTTCCTCAGAGTCTGTGCTTTCCTCACTGTCTGTACTCCCCGAGCTAGGGAAAAAGCCCAAAATATGACTGCTGCATATTGGCCACCAGCTAACTCCAAGAGTTCAGAAGACATCCCACCCCAAACCCATGCTGAGCCTCACCCGGGCCCCACGCGCCTGGCGCTGTCAGGACTCAGCCCGCCCAGGGTCACCAGCTGCGACCCCTGGGCTGTGCTTGCAGACTCCTTGGAACCCTTGCAGCTGCCTGATGTGGGGGTGCCCCCTGGTGGGGAGAGTCCGCACCTCCCTCGCGACCAGGGATGCTGAGCTGCTTCTCATGTGCTCACCTCCTTTGCTTAAGCGTCTTTTCACATCTTTAGCCTATTTTAAAAACTGGGTTGTCTTTTCTCATTACTATAGAGTTTTGAGAGTTCTTCATATGCTCTACATGTAAGTCCTTTATGAGATATATGATTTGTAAATTTTGTCTCTTAATGTAGATGCCTTGTCCTTGTGTTAACATTGTCTTTTGAAGAATATTAGTGTTCAATTTTGATAAAGTTTAACTTACCAAAATTTTTTTTCATGTATAGTGCTTCTGGTGTTGTATCTCAGAGATCTCTGCCTCACCCAAGGTCACAAAGATTTTCCAGTATTACAGTTTTCTAATTTTGTGTTTGATTTAGATGCAAGATCCACTTTTGGTTACTATGTATACATAGCAAGGGTACAGACCACAGTCATTTTCCCACATATAATGTCCAACTATTCCAGCTCTGTTTCTTCAGATGACTACCCTCTCTGCACTGATCTGCCTCTGTACCTCCACCATCAATCAGACATCTAGGTATGTGTGTAGGCCTATTTATGGGCTCTCTATTCTGTCCCCTGATCTACCCCTGTCTTAGTTTCTGTACCTTGAAGTCAGGCAGTGTTAATATTGTTCTTTATGAAAGCTGTTTTGGCTATTCTAGGCCCTTTGCATCTTCATATAAATTTAAAAATCAGCTTATCAACAGCTACCAAAAAACCTGCTATGATTTTGTTTGGAACAGCAATGATTCTCAATCAATCCAGATCTGGGGAGAGTTGGTATCTTAATAATATTGTCTTCCAAATCATAAAACACTTAGCAAGCCTTGATTTCTCTCAGCTGTTCTTAGTGTATGAGCCTTGCACATCTTCTGTCAGATTTATCTGTACACATCTAATATTTTGATGCTATTTTGAATAGTACTATTTAGTAATTTTAATTCCAACTGTTGGCTGCAGTATGTAGAAAAACAATTACATTGATCCAAGATGTACAATCTTGCTAAACCCACTGAACTGTTCTAGTAGTCTTTTTGTAGATCCCAACAAACTTTCTACATAGACAGTCATGTTGTCTATGAATAATGCTAATTTTTACCTTTCCTTTCCAATCAGATACCATTTATTTCCTTTTCTTGACTCACTGCACTGTCTAGTATCTCCAGCACAATACGGAAAAGTAGGGGTTAAGAACAGATATCCTCATATTGTTCCTGATTTTGGGAGGAAATCATTTAGTCTTTCACCACTAAGTGTGATGTCAACTGTTAGGTTTACTGCACAAGCTTTAAACAAACTGAAGACATTCCCTTGTCTCCAGTTTGCTGAGCAGCTCTACCAGGAGTAGATGCTGAATTTAGCCACATGCCTACTGACTTTCAAATGTTAAACCAAGTCTGCACTGCTGGAATAAATCTTGCATGGTCATGATGCACCAATGCTGCCGCTATTTGCTAAGATTTTTAAAGAAGCTTTTGTACCTGTGCTCTTTTCACACCATGTAATGCAATGCCAGCTTCTGGTATCAAGTTACAATTTTCTGAAAACTTCTGTACAAATGGCTGTGATTTCTTCCTGAAACATTTGGTAGAATTCACAAAGAAATGTCCTCTGGCCCTTGGTTCTTTGTGCGTGTATGTGAGAAGGTTTATACTAAAAATTCAACTTTGTCAGCAGACACAGGACTATCTGGGTTATCTTTTTCTCTTTTTGCTTGAGGTTTCGTAGTTTGTGTCTTTCAAAGACCATCTAAGCTGTCAGATTTATTGGCAGAGTTGCTCCTAGTGTTCCTTATTATCCTATTAATATCCGTAAAATCTATAGTGATGTCACCTGTCCTGTTCCTGATAATAATAATTTGTATCTTTTTTCCTTGATCCTTCTGTCTAGGGGGTATATCAATTTTATTAATCTTCTTAAAGAACAACTTTTAATTATGATCCATTGATTACAATGATTTTCTCTACTGTTTTTCTGTTTCATATTTCTGGCCACTTCTTATGGTGGAAATTGAGGTCACTGATTTGTTTCTTCTTTTTTAATGTAAGCAGGTAGTGCTAAAAGTGATCCTTTAAGTACATTTCACTTGCAACCCCCACTTCCTGATAAATACTGAGTTCTTATTGTCTTTCAATTCAAAATACTGTGTAAATTTCCCCTTTTTTAACTCATGTGTTATTTAGTTTCCACATATTTAGAGATTTTCTAGAGATCTGCATTGATTTCTAATTTAATTCCATTGGGTCAGAGAGCATATTTTATGTCACTTGAAATCTTTTTACTGACTCTTGCTTTGTGGCCCAAAGATGGTCTCTAAGTATTTCATGTACACTTGAAAAGAATTCACACTCTTCTGTGGAAAGCTTTAAAAATCCCCAGAAGGTCAAGCTGGTTGATAGTATTATGTAAGTGTTCTATACTTTTATGGCCTATTATTTTTATTAATTACTAGGGGAGGAGTGTTGAAACATCTCATTGTAACTGTGGAATCTGTCTACTTTTGTACTTCTATCAGTTTTTGCTCTGTGTATTCAGAAACCCTGTTGTTAGGTATGTAGATATTGACAGAACTGGCATTATGCTCTCCTAAAAACCACTTTATGACCTTTTAATCTTTTCCTTTGAAATCTACTTTAATATTAACAAAGATTCCTCTACCTTTTAACCTGTTTAAATCTTTTTTATTTTAAAATTTAAGTTCTTAAATAATTTAAACCATTTCCCATAGGTAGCATTAAGTCAGGCCTTTTTTTTTTTCCTTATCCAATCTGAAAGCTCTGCATTTCATTTAGTGTTTTGGGATAGAATTTTGAAAACTGATCCCAATGGGTATCATATGACATGACTCTTGTCTCCTCAAGTAAAATTAATTTTTAGAAACAACTTTCCCCTCCCCAGGGAAATTTTCAGATTTTTATAAGAAACAACATGTAACTCAGCTGCTGCTCTTATTACTAGTCAGGGAACCTCCTCAAGGCAACATATGATGGCATTCCTCAGCATCATTTCCCCATCACAAGAGGCTGTGTCCCATAGTTCATGAACTATGTCAGAACACTTGGAGCACTTTCAAACAGGTCACCCTGACTCATTCACACTGCAGACAAATGAGGTGGTACCAACTCACACTGGTTAACAAGGGCCTTTCTAATCACGACAAAGCACTGATCTCTGGGTCAAATGTGTATGTTTGGAGGGGCAAATGATACTTATTTTACGCATGGGACACTTACTACTATAATAAGCTATCGCTCACCTTGATCGTCTTTGGGATTCTGGTGTAAATGCAATATGCTTTTCCTCCCAAATATCTTCCTCATCAGAGCCACCATCATCAAACTGTTGTATTCTTTCCTTACAACATGCTTCAAACAAGGCAATATTTCCCTAAATGAGAGAGGAAAAAAAATTTTTAATTATTTTCTGCAAAAATTACTAATGTAAATCATACTCTTCCATGTCCTTCGGGGAGGAGGGGGTGCAGCGGGAAATGCCTATCACCTATACCAAAATAAAATATAAGCGTGTAAAGTCAGCTTCTATGTAAGTAACAACAACAAGATCCCCCCAAGGACTGGCTTCAAAACTAGTATACGGGAAACTGAGACTGTCTACAGATAGGCTCACTTCATATAGTGAGAGCAGCGTTCTCGTTCAAGAGCCTCCTTGGGCCACCCGCCTAGCATGCATCCCCAGACCTACTCTAAGCAACCTGAACTTCCTCTGCTTTTACAAGGCCACCTAAGCAGTGAGGAGTGTCAACGTCCAATCAATCAGTTAGTCTCCATCTTATCACAACAGCGAATAAACCAGCAGTCTCTCATGCCAAGTGACATAAAATCAACACTGTGCCCATTCAAATGACACCAACCCCATGTCCAACTGTAGATGTGGTTGACTTGGCCCTCATTTGGCTCAAGTTTCTCTCCTAGTGACATTCAGCAGATGCAAAAGGAAGCAGGTTGGAGTCAAACTGCAATCTTTGAAGCCAAATGTCTACACTGGCCTCATTAGCCCTGTCACATCTTAAACGAGGGCAGCAAATTTACATGCCTATGGGGCCAGGCAGGTCACATGAGTGGCTGAAGTCACCGCCATCTAAGACAAAGGCTCCTGGAGTAGGGAGCCCCAGCACACACAGCACCCATCCCCACCGATCGACCTCTCGTATGCCTATGCCTCGCTACTCACAATCGGCATGAATACTTACACTTTCATTTGTATTGAGAGTAAAGTTGATGTCTGACACCCGATCAAAAGAAACACTGTAAACAAAAGATAAGTGCAATAGTTAATTATCTATAGACTCAGAAACAGTATTCATGAAATTATCCAAATGTACAGTATGAGAAAAGCCTCCATTAGTAAAACCAAATGATCTGCATTAAGTGACCCCTCCTCCCTTGTTGTGAAGAGTCTACACAGAACAGGAGGCCTTGAAGCCTTCCCATAAACCGTGTTTAGCAGCCATGGTGGAAAGCATGGCTCTGTGGGCCATGCCTACATAACCCCAAAAAGGTTATCTGCAGATAAGAATCAGGCTGAAATATGAAAAAAGGGTCACAGACGCTGTCAGACCCTGAGCTTTCTCCAGATGCAAATGCATACATAAAATACAGACACCCTTGAAGTCTTACACTATAGTATGGCATAGATGGGACAAAAATAGGGATTAAAAGAATTCCTAGCCTATTAAATGTGTAATTTTTGAGGAGGTAGGGCTATCTTAAAATCCTTAAAGGATCTGTTTGAATCAAACATCATTCCAAGTATCCCATACAAATTCTAAAGAGACTGGATTCCAAACCAGCAAGTCTTTAACAAATGGGCCCAGACAGGCAGGTGCTGAGACACCACGTGTTGGGAAGTGGGGGGTGGGGGTTGCAGGTTCTGCTGTGAGTGCTCCCGGGGTGCAGACAAGCCCCACGTGTAAAGTCCTTGCTCTTCTGGGGCTGAAATGAGCCAATCCTTAGGGCAGCTGACAGCCTCTACCGCTGCTCTACTGACTGACAGTGAGGCCTCCAGGGCTCCCCTGGGGGCCCAGACAGTAAAGCCTCTGCCTACAATGCGGGAGACCTGGGTTCAATCCCTGGGTCGGGAAGATCCTCTGGAGAAGGAAATGGCAACCCACTCCAGTACTCTTTCCTGGAAAATCCCATGGACGGAGAAGCCTGGTAGGCTACAGTCCATGGGGTCGCAAAGAGTCGGACACGACTAAGCGACTAAACTTAAACTTTCCAGGCCCCATGCCGACACAGTATAGTGTTTGGCACGATCAGAGGGTGTGGAAAGTCTTTCAGCTTCTCACTTGCTGTAAACTGCAACTTATGACAAGCAATAGCCTCCACTGGCTACAGTTTAACCAACGCCCGACCACCTATTGCTGGGGAGGAAACTGAGAGAAGCTGGGTGTTGAGGACCAGGCTCAGGGCGCTCCCATGAGAGAGAACGCTGCTCAGAGAGCTGCAACACACCTCAAGTAAACACTTCAGTTATAAGCACAGTGTTTCCCAAGGTCAGGGGCTAGACCACTTGTTTTTCCTCTCTGCAGACAGCTCCCATGGCAGCTGCTCCTCGTTGCTACGCATCTCTGGGCTCCTCTCTCCCTGACTGCAGGACGCTGTGAACTGACTGCCTGGCCCTCGGGGGCAGGGAGCCCAACCCTAACTCCACCTTCCAGTTAGTCACTCAGAGAAGAGAACGCGGGCAGGGTGGAGCCTGCTCAACCACAGCGTGGCTCCGTCCACTGTGCTGTGAAAAGACCAGACCTGCTCAGGCCACTGAACTGACAGAGGGATTAACCACTGCAGACACTGCGACCCAGCACCAAACCCTAAAAGGGAGGACGACCTGAGTTCCTAAGTCTAACAAAAATAAACCTTTGTGGAAGACGCCAAGCCCAAGGACAGGCTCTCCTTATGGGAGTCACGTTCTATTCCTTAAGCTGTCTGGGTGACTCAGGCTGATGGGCTGGACCTGAAGAACACCTGGAGGGCAGGTTCCTCCCAACTCACAAACACAAGGAGTCCAAGAGCTCAGAAGAATCATAAACTCTTACAGAGGGCAGGACTGCAGGACACAGGTTGTGCAAACAGAAAGGTATACTCACTTGCCGATGTCATCTTGATCTGCAAACTTCTCATCGTTGAAGCCAAACTGGTCAATAAAATTGGACGTCATTTGTTGCATCTGATAATCAGAAAAGGCCTGGCAACCCCAGGACCAGTGACAGTGATACAATGATTCTAATGACATTCCACATACTATATGCCCATTTATTTTCCAGAAACCACCTTATTTATATATAGCCATAGGGCTTAAAAAGTTGGTGTGTTCTTCTTTTAAAAAAAAAAAAAAAACCAACAACAAATAATTTTAAACACAATTTACCCCAAAAAGGAAATGTTTAGAATTTTGTCCACAAATTATTCTAATGCACATGCCATGTAAGAAGTGTTAAATGACTACTGTCCTCTATTCTGAATTGTCTTGAGAGAGAGGTTTGGGTCTGGTTCAAAAAAGTGATCAAGTGACATGTGACAGTCTGAAATTAAAAGGTGTATCAGCCACCTCTGAACACAACCAACCTTAAAACCCAACAAGCGTAACCACCCACCCTCCCTTTCTGCATCTCCCAACCCCCGTCCACTACAGCAACATGGCAACAAAGGAAAAATGACTAGTGATCACAATCCCAATTCTACCACACCATCTCCAGGGATACTTCATTTTCTTAAATAAAGTGATTTAAGTCTCAGAGGCTAAGAAGAGTACAAAGTAACTACTAGCCTACCTACTTTAGAGAGAGGACAGAAAGTTTTAACACTGATTGGAAATCACTCTGGAAAACCTACACCACCGAGAGATCCACGGAGGGGTCGGTTCTGTTTGCTACACCATCTCTACAGAGCACCAGGGTTCTCAGGTGGAGAAGGGGGAACGCTACCATGGACTCCACAGAAATGCTGCTGTTCTCCCTGTGAACAGCAGCAGCCAGGGGGGTGGCGAAGTCAGCAAATGTGCTCCAGGCCCACTCAGTCAGGGTCAAAGAGACGAAGACAGGCAAGGGCCCTCCTCACTCTGCCGCAAGCACCCATATGGAGACGAGCCATGTGCATGTGCGCTGCCTGTGGACAGAGCTGCCCGTGGACTGTGCGGGTGTTCAAGCAACAGCTGTGGCTGGACTAAAGGCACTGGCCCTGAGGCCTACCAGGCAGGCCACCAAGCTCTCCTGCGTTCTCCTCTGACAGGGCCCACAGACTCCACCCTGCAGAAATGCCTTTGCCGTTAATTACTGATGATTCATTATGGTGGCAGGGAATTATGGCATGGATAATCCAAATTGTGGATAATTAAAAAATAAACCTTATATTTGGCTTTGGAAGGCATCTTTTCCTTAGATCTAAAACAGTGCTGCATATATAGTTTACTGAGAACCTAAAACCTCGCTCGCGTTTCTCTAACTTGATACCCACGGCTCCCTGCTCACTATCACACCTTCAGGCTGCCCCTTTCCCTGCCCGCAGAGAGGACACTACCTGAGCGCCTGAGGGCTGGGGCTGGCCCCCAGGTATGCACGAGCTAAGGTGCACGAAGGCTCTGGGAGTCTGGGTGAGAGCAGAGGGCAAGGACAAGTCCCAAGAGGCTGGGTGAGTTCTGGATGTACGAACATAAAGTGTTATGAGCAGAGAGAAACCAATCTGTCTCGATTGCTTTATCTCTTATAAGGTAGGACACATGGCTGGTGCAATAAACAATCAGAGTCACTCTTCAGGGCAGGCGGTGTAAACCGGGCTCTGAGTTCACTGCGGAGAATGTGGCCACACAGAGGAAACAGTGCTTTACAACTGTTTCGGTTCCTTTCTTTTCTTTTTCCTTTAAAAGTTTTGTACTTCTACAAATAATACTGTACATCTTTTGGGTATAAAAAGGAAGAAATATTCCCCAAAGTGCACCTTTAAATGCTTCACAACAGAATGTAAATATGTGTATTATAAAAACATGTGTGAATGCATACATGTGTGAACATACAGCTGTACACACAGATACACATAAATATGCACACACATATTTGCACCGTCTGTCTGTCTATCCACCTAAGGAGGAAAACAGACACATAGTCTATCACAGGAAGCCTCCACATAGTAACACAGAGGACATGGGAAAGGAGCGAGCCGCAGTCCTCAGTAGTTCTGGGTCCACTGTCACTTCTAGGAAGACACTACCGGCAAAGAACCTAAAAGCTGTCAAGGCTCACTAAACCCACAGCCGTGAAGACTGTTACTATATTCTTCCTAAAGCTAAGTGCTTTGGACTCTTGAGAAATTCAAGTCTGGAAAGCCCCATATGGTTGTGCAATTATTAAAACTTTTAATTGCATTTAAAAGCGGGGAAAAAGTCCTCTACATCTCAAAACTGTCACCCTGGTCAAAGCCAGGGGCTGTTCTGGTCCTTTATTAAGTCAATCTCTTGAGGGGTTAGGGGTCCCAGCTGGGCAGCGGGAGTGGCATCCACTTGAGACAGCTGGCCCCAGTGCTCCAGACACCACATGAGGAGACCTCCCCCCCGTCCCCAAGAGAGGCGGCTGCGGGAGGAGGGAGAGCAGACAGCAGAGTGAGGAAGCCAGGAGGAGCACCCTGGTCACGCGTGGCCCCGCGGGTTTGTTCAGTGACCCGCCCTGAGCTCCGTGTGTGTGAGCGTCACCAGGCTTGGCTTCAGATGTGAGTGAGAGCTCCAAAACACACAGAAACTATCTGGTTATAATGGAGACCAGCGTGAATATCTTGGATTAACCTAGAAGTGAATTCCTGAATTCAGGAAAAAATGCTTCAGAGTATGTTTCATATTTTCAAAATGATTAAAAACTGGTCTATAATTTCAACATGCAAAAAAAGTTTACTGGAAGCCTGTCAATCAAAAAAGAATAATTATTCTCCCTACTTTTGAGGGTTACATAAAGTGGATAAAATCCACAGAACAGGAGCCTGGTGTCACTGAGGCGTTTTGGTGACTGAGATCGGTTCATACACACGTCATCAGTCAGAAAATTCTCCCCAGAAAACCTACGACCCTGGAACCAGATCTCGAGAGAGAGGTAGGGAATTCACTTTCCAGACACCTGAACATCATCAGCTTGATTACACTAGCTGCCGCAAACTCCGAGTTCATTAACTTATTTGCAAGTATTTGCAAAAACAGGGTGTTCTCTTTCTTAAAAGCTATTCACCAGAATCAGAATCACCTTGAAAACGCACACTGCACACCATTCAGCTTCTCTGTAGAGGCAGAACGATGTGTAATTGGGATTCAGAGCAGGTTGAGGGGACCAATTTGATACTGTCCAGGTGCTCCAGGGTCGGGGAAGGATTGCTCAAAGGCACGAGGGCTCACAGGAAGCCAGCCGGGCCTCTGGGGTGGCTAGTGGGGCCACACCGCAGACCAACGTGCGGGCGGACCAGGAGACCCACCGGCTGGACAGCTCCCCTGTGGGCTGGCTGCACCCTGCCCCTCACCTCGGGAAGCTAGTCTCCAGGGGCAGTGCCAAGAATCAAGAGAAGCCAAAATGCTACCTCAGACCCATCCTGAAAATGTACACATTAAAATGCCTTCGTCGTAAAATCAGACGACTGCTTAGTTCAGCCTACACCGGGGTGTGTCAGTCTACTTGGACACCAGAAGGCAGCGCCTGCAGAGTCATCAGAAACTTCATCCTGGCCCTGGTAAAAGGGGCTTCAGGATTGGGAAAAACACTCAGTGCCAGGGAAGGTAGCCACATTAATCCCACTGCCATACCCAATCGCCTGACAGGCAAGACTTGGCCCTGACCAAGGGCAGCTCCTCCATATGAGGAGCTAGTGCCTTCCCAAAGGGCTCCCAGGTTGAGCTCCCAAACCTGATGCCCAGAAGGGACAGCGAGTTCACTCCTCACCTCCACAGGGACTACCAAGGGAGGACATATCAGTATGCCCGCTTTTATATCCTGTTTTTGCCCCCACAAAGTTACCAGCACCTGATAAATGAAGAGGAATTTGGGGACAGGATGAATCTGGGGATGCTACAGAATCTGAAGGTATCAGAAACATATCAGCCATTTGGTTCAGGGACACTGGGTAAGTTACTTTCACTGACATTAAACAAGTCTTCTTAGTCTTCTCCACAAATCCCTACTGCAGGAATCTCTGCATAATGAGCATGTCCGAGACGCACACTTACTGAACTATCCAGATCATTCAAATCTCCTGAAAAGTTACCTGACTCATCATCATTATCATATCTAAAGAAACATGCCCTGGAAATATAATCAACGTACGCCTTTCTATCACATACCCAACACTTCCTCTTTTAAACACTTTGACCTAACTAGTAAGTAGCCCCCAAACAAACCTTAATGCATGTCTGACTCCAAAGCTGATTCATAAAAGACAACTAAACTAAGCATTTAAAATAAAAACAAAAAACAAAACTTTTAGGCATGACTCACTTGCTGCAAAGAAGAATCCTGTGAGAAACCCGTTTCTTTAAAGTCAATTTCATCATCACTGGATGAATGAATATGGCAGGTTGTAACCTATATGCATAAAAATGTAAAAAACTATTTAAGAGAGAAAAATTTTGGACATTTGTATCAGCATTTTTACGGAAAAAAATCACATTTAGTTTTTCTCTCAAATGTGTAACAACAGTATGAACAAAAACAAGTAAGAGCTAAGCTGTAAAATCCACCCAGTAATTCCAGGGAGCACTTCGCTCACTCAGGAGGCCAGCGCCTAGCCTTCTGTGGCGCACCTGCAGCCACTTTGCCCATATTAACCGCACGCAAACCACGTGAGAGACGAGCTGCTCCACGTGTGACTGTGATCATTATCTCCAGTGAGAAGTTTACAAAGGGAAGGAGGAAACAATGCCTCAGATAAAATACAAAACAGTTAACTACTGCAAGCCAGAAAGGGAAAACTGCAATCCCAGGGATCACTAATGAGCCACTAAAAAGCTCAGATTTAAATACAACCATTTCATTTTGAATTCTGGCACTTCTTGCCCATTCTAAGAGAAGCAATGCTCATAAATATGATTTAAGTCAATAGTCCCCTGCTCATTACAAGACCCCAGACCTTCTGCCCCTTAACATGTAATCCCTGCCCTCACAACTTAAAACTAACTCACATTAATTAAATAAGCAAAAGCATAAACAGGAACTGCTCACCAATTCACAGTAAGTGATTTTCATTAATTCATTCATTCATTCATAAATGTATTAACAAATAGAAATGACTAAGTACCACACTAATAATGGTAATTGCTACAGAGCAAGTAATAAATGTGAACAGTCTGCAAAATTCTAAGAACAGGCACTGTACTTCTTAGGTAACTTACACTGTATTTTCTGAGTTACTTGTCCTATAGCAGTGCTCCAGGCAGACAGCTCTGTCCTCAGGGGAGAAACAGCAGCCGTTAACTGCCAGCCCTTGCAGCTGTGCCCAGAAGCCTAGAGCCATAAACACTGGCCTGGTTTGCTCTGTGATGTTCCAACACTGATTTAAGAAGCCCAAAGTGGAATCCACAGGGTCTGTATGTGGTGTGGCTTATGAAATTCTGAGTAAATCACTGTCTGAATAAAACTAATCTCATCTCTTTATATCTGGACATCTTTGAGGAAGATACTAAGTCCAAGTGAATAACCCAGAGTTTCCAACTAACTCCCTCTCCATCCTCCCTAAAGTGCAGACAGAACATTCACACGAATTTTGCACTTGACCTGATGAAATCAAAGCAGAATTTGTGATCTGCCTGCCTGAATCAACCACTGCTTTAGCAAGTAGATGGGCAAAGTGTGTGTGTGTGTGTGTGTGTGTGAGTGTGTGTGTGTGTGTGTGCGCGCGCGTGCCAGAGTGCAGATGGGAGGGTGGAATACTGCTTGGTCACGGCAGCTGGCACCTTACAGGTCAAGTGGCTCTGCTGTAGTGGATTTAGGAGCTTCAAGCCACGTGGCTGGCAAGTCAGTACAAGAATCACACTAAGCCCATGGTGGGGGGTGGGGCTCAAAAACAGAAGACAAACCAAAGAGAAAGCTGGGAGAACTGGACAGAGCCAAAAAGCAGCCCACCACTCCTGGTCCGTCTTGCTGTTTCAAGCTCAGTAAGAATACAATGTATCCTTATTCATACTTTTTGCTACAAAATAAGAATTTATCAGCTCATTAATGAAAACAGGAAACTAGAGCCTTGTTTTCAAACTTGAGCAACTACTGTGTGCCAGACACTGTGACCTTTCCATCTTCTCCTTAACTAGTATCCTCAAAGCAATTCAAGTAATCTTTTCCTCCAGAAAGAAACTACTGTTTTAGAAAGTTATTACTAATAACAGCACAAAGCAAGTGCACCTTCTCAATTATTCTGTTGACAGATATGGTGATTCTGATTCTACCTACACGGTAATGCAGTCTGAAATCATTATTAATAAAATGAACTGAAAGATGCAATTTAACTTGTTAATCTTAGTCCCTGATCTAAACTTACAGAACACAACCCTTTTGAAGCATCTTCAGCTCAATAAATGCCTCCCTCATTCCTCTTCTTCCAGCTGAAGTCTTGTCATCTTGTTTCTTCTGTCCCACCCACACCTGTTCACCCTTACTGTCAAAGCAGAACCTGAAACCCCATCACTTCTCTTCAAGGCTATCGTCACCTCCCTGGGGGGGTTTCTCTCTCATCTAGATGCACACTGCATCCAGCAGTCTCTCAGCTGCACCTCTAGTGCCACTAGAGTCTGTCCTCAGGCCAGCAGCCTGATGATGATCCTTCAAATCATGACAGATTTAAAACCACTGGCATTAAATCATGGCACTTTTCATTCAGTTCCAAACCCAGCGGCTTTTCATCTCTCTAAGATCACAACCCCGGGAGCGTGCCTTGAAGCTGCGAGAGATCTCTGCCACACTCTTTCTGACACAAACATGCGGGCGCCGTACCGGCCTCCGCACCCGCTCTTCCATCCCCTCTCGCCTCAGCCTCTACACCAATATTCTCAAGGACATTTCCCTAGACCGCTTAATTTTAAATGCACGTCTGCCCAAAACACTCTAACTCCCTTCCCCTCGTTTACCCTCCCCCTTTGGTTATCCACCTCCACTGAGGCAGGGGTTTTTGCCAATCTTGTCTAGTGCAACATCCAGTGTCCAGCACACAGTATCCACTCAAAGAGTTAATGAATTAAGGAACACCAATAAATCACTAAATGAGAATACAGAATCATAACTTTTAAGAAAGTAACAAGGAGTTAAGAACACTCTTGCCAAGCAAGACATATTCTAAGCAAACTAGACTTTTTTTTCAATAAGCAAAAATGCTTTTTTTTGTGCAAAAAGAGTAAACTATACTCTTGATACTGCAGTGAAAGGAGAAAAAAAGCCTTTGAGATGTTACCTTCTTTCATGGTAAAATTTCAGATTTATTAACTGTTGTGAAAAGAAAAGGCAAGTAAGAGTTTTCTTCATCTTGGCTGATTAGGTTGCTATGCAATCTTAAGTATGACCTGACTGGTAATATCTGAGTGAAAAGCAGAAGCCAAAGACTCTTCTCCTTGCTCCATGTAGTCCCACTGTGGACCCTCAGGACCTACATGACCCCGGGCTGGTTAGAAACACAAACCCTCAGAGGTTCCGCCTCAACCTAGTGGGCCTGCAAACAATTCATATGTGTGCTCTGTATTAAAAACAACCTCCTGTATTAAACAACCTCCATAAACTATCTCACAAACTACATTTTAAAAAACACACCCTTGCCCCTGGAGAGGAAGGCAAAGAATGAAACAAACTCAGTTCTCCAAACTCAGCACAAAAACATTTCCTACCGTTTTCTAAATTTACCTTAATCCCTACCAATTTTTACAGTTTGCAGGCTTAGTCAAAACAGTGTGGTCTCTGGATGTAATTAAAATACCAAGTTTTACTGATAATAAGCTCCCAACACAAAAATATAAAGAGTGTATAAATCTCTTGTGCGTTTACTTTGGCAATACGGGGTCACAAGGCTGAAGTACTTCAAAGAGCTCAGCAAGAAGGCAATTCTATATCCCTACTGGGACACAGTCTGAAACATTCTGGGCAGAAAATAAAGAGTTTGGAAGCTACAGTTCAAGTCTCCTTGGTGGCCTGGGATTAATGTAAAAGGATCCTCAAAAACCTGGAACCCCCATATCCCTAAAAATACAGGGTTGGCCATAACACTTATGAATAAACTCTTTGGTCAACCCAATGCTACAAAGCAGAATTCCCCACTGAAGGACTCAAGACTAACTGGAGGTGGTCTGTTAGTCTTGGGTGTTTGAAACCAAAGCGAGAGGTCCTGAGAGAGCAACACAGAGTCCCAGGAAACAAGATCACAGAGTGGGGCCAAGTAGACACAGGGTATGAGCAATGTTAACAGGGCTCGTTACTGACCACTTCTGCTACATAAAGCGACTTCCCCTTCTTTTGTTTTACTGTGGATTATCTGCATAGACCAAGTGTTATGGCAGAAAGTGCAACAGGCAAAGGAGAACCAGGCTTCAGTCAGCATGACAGGTAGAGCCCAGGGTAACTCTTCCTGCCACACAGGTGTAAATGTCCTTCTAGATGGAAATGTCTGTCTAAATGTACCTGACCCAAAGGAGCCACAGACAACATTACACACAGTCACACACTAGATGACCGGCAGCACAGGGCAAAGCAGCTGAGTGTCACCTGACCTGCAATGTAGCCCTTCTTTACATACTGACAAGAGAAATGTACCTGAATTACCGAAGTTTTTTAAAATCCTGATAACAAGTTTAACTGACATTTTTTACTTCTTCCTTTGAAGTTAATCAAAGGGCAAATTTTAACAAATTTTCCCAAATAAGATTAGAATTAATACTCCTAACTATTTCTCTATAAATAAGAAACAAGTCAAAACTCCCTTTCAAGGAGATCACATTGCCTGCATTCTTTTTTTTTTTTCTTTTTTTTTTTATTAGTCTTGCTTAATCTCACAACAAGGACTCAATATGAGGACCTCTAAATTAAGAGGTTCAGTTTAACAGTATGAGAACAACTTTACTCTGCAGTTAACACCCTGATCATCCAGAACTTTAACCCATTTGACCGGGGGAAAAAAACAATCTACAGTGGGTAATACATTCATTAAAACTTACTTAACCCTTCTTTGATAGCACAGGAACGTCAAAGTGAATGTCACCTCCTCTGCTGGGCTGTGGCACCCTGAGACACAGGGGCCACTAAACCTGTTTTAATTAAATGGCCCCACACAGCTCCCTTTCTACACTTACCGCTTCATAATTCTTTCAGCTTCTAGTACCCAATAATTCTCTCACTATATCCACCTTAACAAGCCACCAATCTGTCAAGAGTCTGTTAAAAGACAACCAAAGCTGTGAGATGATCTACAGAGTGGGAGGCAACAGGCCCTTGGGGCCATGTGACACAGGGTGACCCGGGGACTGCTCTGTAGCACCCCTACCCCCCCCCCCCCCGACTTCTAAATTCTGTTCTGAGCAGATAAGGCTGCCAGGTACTTGCCTGCCTAATAATCGAGGGAGTTACTGTGTATTAGAAATTCAAGATTGCAGCTGATCAATTTCAAAAACAGAATGAAATGTCTGACACATCTACTTCCGTATACAATCAAGATTACCACCTCAGTCATCAGGTGCCATGTGCCTACAAAAGGAAACGCTTTTCCTTCTCTTCAAAACCAAACCAATACTCACCGTAAAACTTAACGTCTTAATGAAAACACAGACTACATTCCAAAGTCCAATATAATTTTTAGAAGTATTATCAATGCCATTGTTCCCTGGCTCAAAGTGCCAATCTGCTAAGGCTGGGGTTCCAAAGTCATCTGCAGAACTTCCCCCAGCTGGAAATGACTAATGCGGGTAAACTCAACTACGCAGAAGTAGAAACCAGTCACAGAAATAGCTCGGGTCTCTAACCACCCGGGATTATCTAGGCATAAGGCAACAGACCCAAGCGTGAGAGGACGGCTGGGGCTGTGCTGAGGAGCCCAGGGAGCAGGTGCCGAGGGAGGTGGACGCGGCGTGGCAGGAAGCGGGGCTGGGGGGGCTGCATGTCCCCTACGTCGGCCCAGGCCGGAACTGGACAAACCAGCCAGAGCACTGCGAACGTAACCTCTTTCACTGGTAAGAAACACGAACGTACCCCTTGGTCTACCATCACCAGGACAAGTGGAAGAAAGCTGCCTCACGTCTTTCTGAATCAACGGGCAAAGCCCCAGAGCACCGAAATCACAGAAATGTAATCTTGTAGAACCTACTAGATCTACCGTGTTCCTCTTGTTAGTTTCTCCTAAGGAGCTCGTGCAGAACGTCTCCCATCGCTCCCTGACTTCGTCTGGAAGATCTTCAGAGGGGAGAAAAGGAAAAAAGCATGATCACTACAGTGACTGACACACAGACAAACAGGGAGCACGAGAGGGCGCCACCATGTGGTCATCAGAGGTGGGCAAGCCCTGCAGGCCGGGCGCCGGGCTCTGGGAGGCCCAGGGTCATAGAGGCGTGCTCAATCTGGACCCTGAGAACTTTCAGGAACCCCCCCACCCCGCCCCCATGGTCTATGCTTGATGCCAAGAGCTCTAATCAGTTATCTGAATCTAACAACTTTTTTAGGATCTTTTGGTAAAAACTTAACCTGGAAAATATTAATGTAAGTGTTTCCACGGAACTCCTTCTAAAGGTGTGGGTAACAGTGGTCCTGCTCCATAGTCACGGGCGTTCAGGAAACACTGCACACACTGACTCCTGCACACTTTCTTGAGAAATTCTGAGGCATTTAGCCCATGACTGCCCCATGGAACCCAGTGTGGGTTCTCAAATTCCTCAAAGATAATGTTTTCTAAATACTTGTGTCATGGGACAACAAACGGATAATGTGCAATAGTGAAATATATTCTCTACAGAAAATTTAAAGAAAAGGAGACACAAATAGTTTTATGAGAAAACGAAACTACAGCTGCAATCTGGGAGCCCTCACTAGACTGAAGTTGTCATCTGACAATTCTGGCTTAAATACATGTGAATACACCCTCACACACACATCTGGGAAGCAAGTACCATAAAACTAAGACTGCTCTAAAAGAACACACACACACATGACATGGCCATTTCACATGCACGGCCAAGAACATACAGTGTGATGACATGGCTAATCTCTCTCTCAAGAAGCAAAATTCCAGGTGGGTAAGCCCCAGTTTTCTCCATCACTGGGCCACAATCGTGCTTTTAGTGCACATTCAATAGGTAACAGCCTCCTGAACACAAACATTCTTAAGAGAGGCGGAGGAAAGACTGGGAACTGATTTTCAGCAAGCTAACAACTGAACAAATGCTGCACAACAGAGGTTAAGACATTTTGCCTTTGGAGTGAGTCTCAGGACTAGTAATCCCGCTGGAGCACACGGGGTTCTCAATGCTCTCATCCAGGAGGAAGTGGACTTAAGGCTGGGGAGCCAGTGTAAAAGGCATCCGTACAGCTTTTTCAAGTAACCTTGGGCTGATTACATTTAAATGCTAGTACAGAGTCTTAGGATATTGGCTAATAGCCCTTATTTTAGTAATAGAGGCAGAAAAAGATGCTGATAAGTATCTTAATATGCTAGTGAAAGGAACTCAAATCCACAGGCCCTGTGGGAGCCTTCACGAAAAAAGAAAAAGCAAGAGTAACTAACTGTAGCTCACAAGGTCCACTGTCGGCCTACGAGTACTTCAAGCTAAAGGAGCGACCTGTGAGCCATGCCCTTAGAGAATGAAAGGGGGTGACTCCAGTTACCGGCCAAGCCTGCCGAAACTTAGCCAAAGGACTGCAGAACTAAGAACAGAGATACAGCAAACAGGCATACTGTTCAAACACATTTCCAAGAGTCTCATTCAAACCTCCAGATACTGTGGACGCGGAAGGAAACTCCCCGGACAGCTTTGTAAACGCCAGGAACCCTCCCACTCCGCCCCTAAGCCCCTCCCATCTGAGAGAGGCGGCGCTGCAGCCCCGAGCCGGTACCTTTGATGAGCTGCTGCACTGCGGCGCCGTTGGGGCCCTTCTCTGCGCTGTGCACGACGCAGTTGGCCATCCTCGTCAGGTGGCCCATGTAGCCGTGCCGTCGACCTCCCTCAGCCCTGCCAGGGGCAAAGGACAACTGTTCAGACTCCTGACAGGGCGGGGCGATGAGGCGGCTGGGAACCGCCGTGGAGCTCAGCAATGGTGCTAAACTCCGACCCCCAAGGACAAGGACAGGCAGGAGAGGAGGCTGAGGACCCCTTCAGACCCGAGGGGGCAGTGAAGTGTGGCAGAAGCAGTCTACTCAAACCTGTACTGTAGCCTCACGAGACAGGACAGATTTTGCTGAACTATTCAAACCAACCATCTTCAGTCACATATTATCTTTAAAAACAAAAAACCAAACATTCACTGGCGCCTGATAATTCTATGACTGTGACTTTCCTTTCTTTCTATAAAACTAAACAGACTGTAAAGAACTGAGGTGAGAATTCTACTGGTTCATTTTGCTAAGACACTATATTAAATTTCAATCATAAATCAAATACCAGAGAAAGTTATCTACTGATGGCATTTCTTGAGTTAAAATGTTAGCTGATTCAATCGAGGACTTGGCCAAGAGCAGAGGTAATCAACTTGCATTTTGGCCCATACACTGCTGGGAACACAGACATGCATGTTACTCCTCACCCCTTCCCTCACCAGAATCTAATCTTCACAACTGACCCATCTTTACACTTAAGACTTCTCACATCACTGTGACCTCTCTACCTGAATATTTAAAAAGTGTCAATATTTTAACTTCTATGAAACAGAAGACTTTTGAATGCAGACAGGAGGGAACTAAAGCGATCTTTACTTAAAAGGAGACTCTTTCAGGAGCCACTTTAAAAAAGAAAAAAATCACATAATGTTTACAGGCCTGCCTCAAAAATAAAAGTATCTGCTACTAAGCTTAGAGGTTCCAGGGATACCTACAGGTCGGAAGGCACAGGGTGGACTTCAGCTGAGCTGCTAAGAGCCTCTCTTGTTGTTCAGTCGCTCAGTCATGTCCAGCTCTCTGCGACTTCTTTCAGTTTCACAATAAGATTCACAATAAGAACCTGAATGTTCATTTGGGCCAAATTCTTACAAACTCTGCTGTATTCCCTCAAACCTCCACAAGTGAAAACAAACACCCATCTCCAAGCTTTCTGGCCCAAGGCTCCCAATGTTCTTTACACTTCCTGTTCAAGGAAACCTTAGAAAGCTCTTTCAGGACCCCCCAAGAAAGAAGAAATCTTAGCCAGGATTTCAGAGGCTGGAGCTCACGGGGAGCAGAGCATTGCTGAGACGAGGAGGCAGAGAAAGGGAGTCAAGGAAGGCGAAGATGGGCCAGAGACGTCAGTCTGGCCACAGAAGGGCTCTACTCAGAGGAGAGGGCCTGAGCCCCAGCCACACTCAACTACAAGCCATCTTTCTCCACACAGAATTAAAGCAAGGCCCTATCGGTTTTTAGTAAGTGATTTTTAAAAGAAATGTATACCCCAAAATGTATGCTTCCATAAATCTGACTTAAAAGCAAACACAAGAATGCCCTGAGAGTGTTTCCCAAACACACCCCCCTGCTGCACAATCTATGGGAAGGCATAAAAGCTCCCTGGGCATTAGAGAGGAATGCTCACCCCAAACAACACTGCTACGGGAAACTCTGTGTAACAAAGCCACTCATAGGCAGCAACAAATACCTCGACTAATTGAGCCGATCAGCTAACGGAAATTTTCTAAAAAAGGAAATACTAGGCAATTTTACCCTCCTCTAGCTCCAGGCACAAAGTGACTCTAGGAGCTAATTATCATCACGGAGGACTTGCCTTTGTCATTCTCTTCCTTCTCCTTCCCATCATTCTCAGAAAAACCACCGTTCACAAAGAAACAAGAAGTTCCAAAGGCAGCAACAGAGGAGGGGCGTACTCCCAACCCCTGGTTTCCCCTCAAGACAGGTAGAAAGACAGGGAGATCTAAAAGTAAATTATTAGAAAAATACCTGTTAACAATTAAATGCTCTGGAAGTCCCAAGAGAGCCATTTGTAACTAACTGTAAAGTGGCCTATACCATGTAACTATATTCATTGTTCCCTGTCTAGAGAAAGAGTGCACATTTTCTTCAAATTAAAAATCAGGGCTTCTCTGGAGGCTCAGTGGTGAGGCGTCTGCCTGCCAACGCAGGAGACACAGGTGTGCTCCCTGGTCCAGGGAGACCCCACGTGTCGCGGAGCGGCAAGTGCTAAGCCTGTGCCCTGGAGTCCAGGGGCCACAGCGACTGAAGCCTGAGTGCCTGGAGCTGTGCTCTGGACAAGAAAAGCCACAGCGTTAAGAAGCCCACGTGATGGAGCTGGGGGGAGGACCCAACATGCCACAACGAGTGCAAAAGAGCCTGAGCAGCAGCCAAAACCCAGCACAGCCAAATGTAAGTAAGTAATAATCAAACTGAAGTCCTGTCAGAGAACAAAATACTTACTGTTTCTTCTCATTCATTTCCCAGGCATCAAGTATTCTTTCTATTAACTGACATTTTTGAAAGAGCTGAATAAAAAGGAATGTTTCAGGTTAAAATTGACATAAATGTCAAAGTGTCAAAATTTTAAGTGAAACAGAACTCTAGTTAAACAGAAAAGTGATACACACCACTTTATACATACAACCCAGCAAGCTAAATACAGCTGTGAATTGTCGGCTAAATCACATGCAATGTGATAAAGTAACTGCTACCAGTGAGCAGCTGACCTAAAGCAAAGCCAGGTTTTATTCTGAAATGGAATCATGCCCCAGCAAAACTTTAGTTCACAATACCACAGCAATACTTGTACTCTTCAAATATGAGCAACACTTACTTCTACATGAACTAATATATTGCATTCTTATTAAAAACAGGGGTGGCTGGCCAAATCCTGCAGGCCAGTGACCGGAGCTGTGGGCTGCATTATCAGAATGTGCAAAGCCAGTCTCGTTCAAATGTCATTTGTCTTCCCCATCTACTTAGTCACTCCAGGCTAGCCTGGCCCATCTTCAAGGTTTGGGGGTAACACAGTATGAGCAAGAGAATGTCCACAGTCACAGAACTACAGAGCAAGAAGACTCCTGAAGACGGACTCAATAAAATCACCACCTCATATGTAACAAAAGACAACAGGTCCCCGAAAGAGGTGTGCTGACTCTGCAGAGACTAACCTCCCCCCACTTCCAGTCACAGATTCAGCACCAGAAACCAAAACTCAGGCAAGCCAAATAACTGTTCAAATGTTATTTAAATTTGTATTGCTTTTTAATTTCTGAAAGGTTTCTAATCTTCAAATCTATTGAGTTTACTGAAACTTTTTTAAAAAGTTCATCTAATGGTGAACTGCCTAGGATATGATTTATAGACTCACTAGTTAAAAGTACAATCAAAGTAAGACAGTTAAATCCTTAGATTCTGAAATCTCACCTCCCACCCTTAAACTTCAATTCACTTCATAACTTAAGTAGAAAACTACTATAACCAGGAGTGGCCGAAAAAAAGACACCAAGTAAACTTACATGTTTTAATAACAAGTTGTCACCAGTGGAATCTTGATCAGTAATTGTGCTATTTTCTGTGTTTTCAAAAGGACTCGCAAGAATCAGTGCAATACAAATTTCCACTTGTGTATGTAAAAAGTTGTTCCATGTGTATTTGAAGAACATGTCCTACAAAAAAAAAGTAATGCTTTCTTTTACTGTCACCTCAATCTTTCAGTCACTACTTCAATACATTCACCGAAAATCAATTAATAAATGATGTGCTCCTGGTACAATAAAACAAATTAAAAGGAATACATTATTTTTAAAGGCAGTTTAAAATGCCTTCATAGGCTAAATAACATTATATTTGCTCATTCAACATGTCGGAATTTGCAAGGAACCTAACAGAGACCAACAATAAATGCATAAAGACAATAATAAATTTCTCAGAGAAAATCTGTTTGTTTTCACAGTGACTAATACAGATATTAAGTTTAGCAAATTTCCAATGATTTTCAAAGAAATTTATGAGAATTTCATTTTAATTCAACAAACTATTCATTGATGACTCCTGAGCAGTGCCCAGTGCTAGCTGCAAAATAACAGTCTCCAACGTCAAGGTGCTCACACCTTAGAAACTAACCACTCAAGCACTCAGACTCATAGAGCTACCAGCAGATGGAGCAAAGCAAGGCGTATGGCCGGAGGTGACATGTGGGACTCCTAGGGAAGCAAGGGCTTTCCAGGTTACCTGGAAAGGGTAAAGGTAGCGGAAAAGAAGACAGCTCCTAAAAGCACAAAATGCACAACTGCAGAATGTTTTCAGGATATCTCTGAGTGTGGTTATCCAATCTCAAATGAAGAAGTAATGATTTAAAAGTTTTATCCATTTAAAATCCATTTAAAAGTTTTATCAAATTTAGCACTCAAAAGCGGCTCTAATATTAACAGTAGAACGAATTAACAATAGCAGTACACTTATCCCTAGTAACCGATGACTTCAAGACGCCCCCCAAAGCCAGGCGTGGGCGTTACATTCCTGTCAGAGGGCGAGGCAGAGACCGTCCCCAGGGGGCAGGGGCTGTGCTGCGGAGGAAGCGTAACCCTCTAACGCCTCCTCTTTCTCCGAAGTGGCCCTGCTCTCCGTGCCCTTTACTGATGTGTCACTTAACACATCAGGCTGAGACACAACTAAAGTATCTCGGTGATGCTACAGAGCACAATGGTATGGCTGATAGAACATGCATGGGTGTGAATGTGGACGTGGATTCCAATCTTTGCTCTAGCACTTACTAGCCGTGGAATGTACCCCCTCTCTGGGCATGATCTGAAGAAAACAGTTTATACCCATGATCATACGAGAATGTATATGAAGTGCCCACTTGATGCCTCCCATGTGAAGAGCAAACACCAGGCCTTCCTCTGAAACACACGCCAGATCCCCCCGGGGCACAGTGTGACCACCCCGGGAACCATCCGTGCTGCGTGAGACAGGTCAGAGGAGGCAGGGGCCCCGGGCCAGGCCCGTGGCGTCTAAGCACAGGCCTCGGAGCCAGGGACCTCGGGGATTCGGGAAGTCCAGATAATTCCTGGGCTCTTCCTTTTCCCTTCCATTCCTTTCTGCTTCCACAGAAGCAGACTAAATGAAAAGACAGACTCAAAGACAGTCTTAATACCCTCTGCAGATCTCTCTCAGTGGAAAATAGACAAAAGTCTGTCCCCTGAAGAGAAGCATTATGAAGGGAAAACAGTGCTGCAGGCAGCAGCCATCTATGGCGCACACAATCCCCCAAAGAAACTGACTACACTCACTCTGTCTTCCACGGGAGACTGAGCTTCGGGAGGGAAATGTCTGCGTCTAACTGTCCTGGCAATTCTCTATAACACAGACAGATCTTCATGCACAGCAACAATAAATCACTACTGAGAAATTAAAAGCATTCAAAACTGATGATAACCTCAAGGGGAAGACTGCACTCAGACCAAGAAAAGTCACTGACACATCCTGTGAGTTTATGAGATTCTACAATCAGTGATCTTACTTACAAAAGCTCAAGGGCAAATGAAGACATCTTTCGGGGACATCTTACCAGTATGACCCCAATGCTATTCAGCTCCATGAGGTCCCCGTTGATGCTGCTGGTATTTGTCTGGAGGAGGCTGGATACCAACCTAACCACACTCAGCCGGGTGTTCCCCACGGGGGGGTCCAGCACGCCCCACGTAGTCTTCATCACACTTTTCTGAGAAAGAAAAAGCTTTCTGATTAGATTCAGTTCAGGACTCCCCCAGCAGTCCAGTGCTGAAGAACCCGCCTGCCAACACAGGGGAACAGGTTTGACCCCTGGTCCAGGAAGGTCACACACGTCACAGGGCAACTGAGCCCAGGCGCCCTGGAGTCCATGCGCCGCAACAAGAAGAGCCATCTCAGGGAGAAGTGCTCGCGCTGCAACCAGACGGCAGCCCCTGCCACAGCGAGAGCTGCAGGCAGCAACGGAGAGCCAGCACAACCACAAACAGATAAATAACTTAAAAACCAGCTCAACAAACAAATGGTGCAGGAGTATGTACTAAGACACAACACTAAATTAAGCCGGCGAACAAGTTGGCCTAAATTCTATACCTGCAGGGAAATCCAAAACTCCTACTGATATCTTTAAGATATGATGAAATAAATATAAGAGAAAAAAATAGGTAATTTCCCTAGACTACGTATTTTGTAAGAAATCAAGTATCCCCCTGCCTTCAACATTCTAGAAAGCAGAAAGTTCGGCAAGTTCATGAAGAAAAAGTGCAATATTCCAAACCTGACCAGAAACCTGAGAAACTAAGAAGAGTGACAAGTGGCTTTGGACACAGTCCTCAATCTTTGCCAAATCTGGGATAGAATGCAAACTCAGTAGCTGCCTCTGGGTCACAACCTAGAAACAGGATCAACCTCAAACCCGCTTTCATTCATAAAAGGGAGTTTGTATTCTTTGAAATCACAGAAGATAGACCCAGAACATTTCAGAACTTTAGAAGTTAGAAGTTTGGCAGGAGACCCACAACAAAGTGAAAAGGGTATCCTTCTCCATGTCCCCGTCCAACAGGGCTTCCCGGCCCCACTGCCTGCTCCCCCCAGGTTCAGGGGAAAGGGGAGCCCCCCTTCACTCCCTGCGCACAGCGCTAATGGACATGGATCTACTCACACCGCACTGTGCAGTAAAGCCTGAACTCACTGCCCCCAGCAGGCAAAGAGAAGTCCACACAAAACACTGTCTTACTTTGGAATCAGGCCCAAGAAGAGCGCCAGATGAGAATCCACATGGGATGCTGCCTTTCCTGTCCACTGAGAAAGGAGACATGACACCTCAGACTCGGGTCAGGGGTACCCGGCCACACCCCCTCTTCTCTCAGGTCCTCCTCCTCCTCCGGCTTTCACTTCTTTTCTCCTGAACAAACCCTGCTTCTTCTCTGACTCTCCTGCCCTTCTCCCCAGGCCTGGCATGAAGGACTCCATTGGCCAACATCAGTAGGCACACTTTCCACGGTGGGCCCTGAGCACTCCGGCCTGTACCCCAGACCACTGCCTGCTCGCTGCTCACATAGGAGACAATCTAGAAGCTGAACCAGACTCCAAGCACAATGGACTCCCTCCACAAACTGGAAACACCTAAAGCAGAAGGGAGACACTACTACACTCTATCCCCAGGAACTCACTCAGCAGAGGCCACAGAGACGCACTGTGTACAGCCTGGCGTGCCGGATGCAATGACGCACACAGAAGGAAAAACCAAAGTGTAAGAACCGGTGTGGGCGGCAGAACTCTCAAGGAACTGTCTTCCACCCCAGAGACACCACAAGGAAGAGCCTCGTCCCCTAACCTCAGCCTGCAGCAATCCAAGGGGTAGCCGTCACGAAGGACACCACTATGGACCATGGACACCCTGCTTTTGTAGGTCTTCACTGTCTGCATTTTCAGTGGCTGTCTGAGTAAACAGTCCTTTCTGGATTAGCACACGGATGCCCCTGACAGAAAAACTAACACTCCAAGTCACAATCAACCCACCACTTCTTAAATGACAATCTGTCCATCAGGCAGTTACATTACTCCAACTCTGAGTAAGACAACTCAACTTCCAAGATTAGTTTCTTGAAGATTAACATGTACCTCAAAGATGTGCAAGTAACATGCTATGAGAAGAAAACTATTTTACCTGCATGTAAATACACAGAATTTATAGAAGAAGAAAAAAAAGAACAAAACGCTGAGTTTTCTAAGCAGGTGAGTATCTTACATAATTAAGTCTATTCCATTCATCAGTTTTGACACTATATACAGATAAAAGTCAATTTAAAAACTAGTTCAAAAGCAATGAAAAAAATGGCACTTTTTTTTTTAAAAAACAATGGCACTTTTAACATACTTTGCACAGCTGGTTCTCTAACTCAGAAGGTTCATGTACCTTCTAACAGCTGAAATCAAACTATGGAGCTGTTCAATGCTGCTTCAGAGAGCTGCCTTACCTTGGGGGGCTCAAGCAGGAGTTCGTGAAAAGATCCAAGTCTTCCTCGAATGGCTTCTAGAACACTCTTGTTGACTGAACAAGCTGAATGACTCATGCCTGGTGGGCAGATCTCTATATGGCCTTCAAATCTTGAAACAAAGCAAGTTAATTTTATTTATTATTTCAGAACAAACCATTCAAGGTGCTCTGTAACAGCGAATGGTGGTGATTGAGTCACTAGGTCATGTCTGACTCTTGCGACCTCATGGACAACAGGTTCCTCCATCTGTGGGATTTTCCAAGCAAGAGTACTGGAGTGGGTTATCATTTCCTCCTCCAGAGGATTTTCCTGATCCAGGGATAGAATCAGTGTCCCCCACATTGGCAGGCTGGTTCTTTACCAACTGAGCCACCAGGGAAACCCGTATCAGAATATAGGGATATTCAAAACAGCTCTGGAATATATGTATTATACAAAAATTTCTGATAGGACAGAAAGAGGGTGTAATAAAACCTTGATAGGGATCAGCTGACATGACCAGAAATCCAACAACATATGCTGTCAGGGGAGAAATTATATACCATTTCTTCCCATTTTCTCCTGAACCTACTGTACTAATACCACGTCTCTAACCAGAAAATGTGGAAAGCAATGAGAGATCCCTGAATTAGAGCACATACCATCCTTGCCTACCACTGGATGACTGCTAATAATAAACAGGCCTGGGATTTCCCTGGTGCTTCAGTGGTTAAGAACTGGCCTGCCGATGCAGGGGACACAGGTTTGATCCCTGGTCCAGGGATCCCACATGCTGCGGGGCAACTAAGCTCATGCGCCACAACTACAAAGCCGGGCACCCTAGAGCCTGTCTCCCGTGTCACACACAGCAATGAAGACCCAGAGCAGCCAAAATAAATAGGCCGGTATTTGTTCTATGGATTCTCTTACCTAACCCAGCAACAGTGTTTCTTCTTTAAAAGGCTTACGTTAACGCTCTGTACAAAGCTCCACCTATAGTCATTATAAGTAGCTTGGAGCTCCCCTGGTGGCTCAGACAGGAAAGCGTCTGCCGACAACTCAGGAGACCAGGGTTCAATCCCTGGGTCAGGAAGATCCCCTGGAGAAGGAAATGGCAACCCACTCCAGTATTCTCGCCTGAAAAATCCCATGGATGGAGGAGCCTGGTAGACTATACAGTCCATGGGGTTGCAAAGAGTCGGACACGACTGAGTCACTTCACTTTCTTTCACTTATAGTCATTATAAACCACTTCTCTCAGGAAAACAGTTACGAAATTGCTTTCATACAATCAGTGTAAGGAAGCACGGGGTTTCTCAAAGTTGGGGGACAGGAGGGAGGGGTATAATAATGTGGGTGTACAATTCAGATTAAAAGATAAACCTGGGAGTGGTGTGTCAGTGCAAACTTGCTCCTAACAACACAGCTGCTGGAGCAAGGAGGCCTGCGCCATATCCTGGCCCTTTGCTCACCAGCCATGTGTCCTGATACGGAAAGAACAGCCCACCCAGGACTGCCGGGGACCACGCTAACACAGAGGGCCAGGAGCAGAGCCTGGCACAGCTAGCACCTAGAGAGGGACCGTCACAACAGGTATCCGAAAACATTTCACACGTGCAAGTGATTTCCAAGAGCCTCACATAACAGCATTCAGAAATGCAATTACAGAAAGGGCGCGTGGGCAGGGGAAAGGACTTCTGCTCTGATTATAGTGCTTTTTACTGTGTAGGGGTTTTAATAATTTATGTGGCCAAATATAGCATTCTTCACTACAGTTTCTGTCCAGGAAGCCATACTTTAAAACTTCTTTACAATGTCATAATCCTATGAGCTTCTGCATACTTTTCCTCTAGTAGTTTTCATTTAATTTATCTGGAATTTATTTTTATGCAAAACAGGCACAGACACTGGATTTCTTCCCCAAGGGGCGAGTCGCTTTCTAAGCCATATTTACGATCTGCTTTTTTCCACTCATGTGAAAATACCATACAAAAACTTATACTCAAAATCTTTACTCATTCACATAAGTTTCATTTGTTCATATGATAAATATTGGTGGTGGTGCAGAGGTGAAGTTGTATCTGACTCTTGCAACTCCACGGTCTGTAGCCTGGCAGGCTCCTCTGTCCATGGGATTTTCCAGGCAAGTATACTAGAGTAGGTTGCCATTCCCTTCTCCAGGGGATCTTCCCAACCCAGGGATCCAACCCCAGTCTCCTGCATTGCTGGCAGATTCTTTACCGACTGAGCTGTTCAACTAATAAACAGTGAGCATAAACTTATCTACCTGCCTTGACTCAGGTACAACAGTCAATATCCACGGTGTTTCTCACATTTTAGTTCTTTCAAACGTATGTAAAATCCGCCAAATCGAAAACAAAACTCACACTGACACTCCAAGCAGAGGCACGTTAAATGTGGAACTTAGACCTGGAAAGGCACAGGCAGTGGCAGCTGCTGGGGGCATGGGAGCAGTCAGTGTCCCTTCTCTGCTGAACAGTGACCTAGTGTCCCGACACACCACAACTTCCTCACCACTCACCAGGTAAAGACACTCTGCCTTCGCAGTTTTGGGTGATTACGAGTAAAGCGCGCAAACATTCACTTGTAAGTTTCTGTGATACAATTTTCACTTCTTATGGGTAAATATCTAAGAGTACTGGATAACAAAGATCTGTTATTTAAGAACTGCCAGGCGCTTTAGAAGGTGGCCACACGACTTTCCATCCCAGGCAGACTGTGTGAGGCTTCACTGTCACCAGCACTGTTTGTTTATGCTCATCTGGTTCAGATACGCTCAGTGGGCTGAATGTATCTACCTCCTAGTCCCCATCTGGATGCCTAGGTTTTCTTCCTGCCTCCGACCGACGGCATGAGGCTGAGAAGAACTGGTGAGGGGGATGTTCTCACCATGGCCCCTGATTTTAGGGGCTACGATTTCAGCCTCTACCATTAAGAATGACGGCACTCAAGGGTCTTTCTGTTTCTCAGCTTCCAAGTTCCTTTGTATTTCTTATTTGCAGATGTTTTATCACAAAAGACTTTAATGAAATGGTCACATGGTTTTACTTCTTTAGTTTGTTGATACGAATTACACTGATTTTTATAAGAACTATTTTTATACAGTGGTTTTAAGTTCACAGCAGAATGGAGGAGAAGGTACAGACTGGCCATATGCCCCCTGCCCTCACAAATGCACAGCCTCCCCCACTAGCAACATCCTCTACCAGAGCATTTATTACAGCCCGCGAACCTATACGGACACATCACCATCACCCCGAGCCCAGAGCACTCCGCAGAGCCCACTAGATGGTGTACGTTTTATGCATCTGGACAAACAATGACACGTTTGGGGCACGAAGGTATCACACAGAGGGTTTTCACGGCCCTAAAGGTCCTGGGCTCCACCTATTCACTTCGCCCCCACCGCCACCCTCTGGTCATCAGTGACCTTTTTACCGTCTCCACAGTAAAATGAGACATTTTCCAGAAGGTTATGTAGCCTTTTCAGATTGACTTCTTTCCCTTCTTTTTCACTTGCATTCAAGGTTCCTCCATGTCTTTTCATGGCTGGAGGGCACCTTTTTAGGGCTGGATAATATTCCACTGTATGGATAAACTACAGTTTGTTTATCCACTCACTCACTGAAGACATCTTAGCTGCTTCCAAGTTGTGGCAAGGGTGGATAAAGCTGCTAAACAACCACGTGTAGGTTTTTGTGTGAATATACGTTTTCATCTCCTTTGGGTAAATACCAAGGAACATAACTGCTGGGACTCTATGTTGAGAGTGTTTGGTTCTGTAAGAAAGTGCTGGACTGCCTTTCAAAGTGGCTGCAGCATTCTGTGTTTCCACCAGCAAGGAAGAAGGGCTCCCGCTGTTCTGCGGTCCTGCCAGTCAGGTCCAGTGAATTGCTAGCACTGTGCTTCTTACTGATTTCTGTCTAAATGTTATGTCTGTTTCTGAGAATAGTTTAGACTTTCAGAGAAATTGCAAAAGTACTAGAGCCCCCATATGACCTATACTCAATTTCCCACCATCATTATCTTACATTTATCAAAATTAATTCACCAATACACGTAAAATCCACACTTCATTCAGATTTCCGTGTTTTTACCTCAAGTTGTGCCTCTGTCTGGAGTCCATGCAGGACACCTCACTATGTTTACTGTCAAATGTGCTCTGTCCTTCGCCTGCTCTTGGCTCTGAAAGTTCCTCGAGCTTCCCTGGCCAGGCACTCTGCAGAGGGTCCCTCAGCCGGGACCTTGTCTCGGGCTTCTCTCACGATCGTGGGTTGTGGAGAGGAAGACCACACAAGTAAAATGTCATTTTCATGACACACCATCAACACAACTTAACACTGGCTGTTGACTTTGAGTGTCCGGCTGAGGAAGTGTTGGTTCTAGCTCTCCTTCCACACGGTACTTTCTAGAAGGAAGTCGTGAGGTGCCAGCTACAAGTAAAGAGTGGAGAGTTCTGCTCTTCCTCCTAGAGATGGAATTATGAACTACTCGGAATTCTGCCACACTGGAGAGTTGTCTCTTCTTCCCCGTTTACTTGTTCAATCATTTATCTGTATCAGGATGGATCCATGGTAAAGTTATTTTATAGCTACCTTGTGCTGTAACACAATACAATGCCTTGCTTTACTGGGCAAGTACTGGCAGCCCCAGCTTTGGCCAGCGAGAGCTCTTTCAGTTGCCTCCTGTGTCCTGCTCACACACCCTTATTATGGGTTTTTTCCTTTCTCTTTTTTTTGGTCATCCTGCACATGGGTTCCTGGTTCCCTGACCAGGGATCAAACCTGCGCCCCCTGTATTGGAAGCACAGAGTCTTAACCGTTGCACCTCCAGGAAGTCCCTGTGGGTCTTCCTTATTGTTGAGCACATCCTCAGTCTCTACGCTGCAGGATGCTCCACACTCACCTCATGCATGTCTGACCCCAGTGGTAGAACCAGCCGTTTCTCCAGAGCCCTGACTCCTTGACTGGAGGGTGGGGTTAAAAACTAAGACCCCGGCACATGGTACACTTGTTTCTGGCAGGACATCATGGCTTCTGGACCTCACAAAGCAACTGTCTCCTGGCTCCAACTTTTCATATTTCATTGTAGGTAATTTCTAATGTCCTACACTGATTCTTTCCTCAACTATGTTGAAGTTCACAAATGAGCCCAAAGATATTTTTCATTTCTAGCATTTCCAGATGATCTTTCATAGCTCTGCTAAAATTCTCCATCTGTTCACATAGTGCTGCTCACTCTTCCCACAGTCTTTAACATATCAATCACAGTTTTTTTTTTTTTCTAATTCCCTACCAGAGAGTCCCAACACTTTTGATTCTAGTTCTATTGACTGCTTTTTCTCTTAAGAGCTTGTCGGCTTCTTTTTATCTGGCTCCTTCTTATCTGGCTTCTTCATCTCAAAATTTTTTGGTTGAAACGTGGACATGCTGTGTAAGACAACAGAAACTTATATAACTAGTACTTGTCTGCAGCAGACACACCTCTTTCCCCCTAAGTCTTTAGTGTAAAGTTTGGGGATCAATTTACAGTCAGCAGCGGAGCTCAGTTCGGGCTGTGGCTGTGACTGTTTTTTCTCAGTGCACCAAGACGTCAAACTGGTCTCAAGTTACTCTGTATTTATAGTTACGGCTGGACCGCCAGGTCTTTCTCAGTGTCTGCTCTGCCCTCAGCTGAAGTTCCTCCTTCAAGCTCACTCCCATGCTGACGGTCTCCCTGCGCCACGCCGCAGCCTCCCCTCCATCAGCACCCGGCTATACCCACTCCACGCATGGTGGCCTGGGGTGGGGGAGGCATGGGAGGAACGGCTCTGTTGTTCTGGCTCAGCCTCAGGCCCCAGAGACGCCCCTGGGACTCAGGGACGGGCCATCTCGGTGATCCGGCCCTTACTTCAGGACGGGGGCTCTCTGACAGCCTGGGTCCTGACTGTGTCCCTGCTTGTCCTGAGGGATAGAGGTTCTTTCCTGGTCCCTTCCACCCACTGCCAATGGCCCCCGTGCATGCTAAGTCGCTCAGTTGTGTCCGACTCTTTGTGAACCCATAGACTGTGGCCCGCCAAGCTCCTCTGTCCATGGGATTCTCCAGGCAAGAATACTGGAGTGGGTGTGCATGCCCTCCTCCAGGGGATCTTCCCCACCCAGGGATCAAACCCACATTTCTCATGTCTTCTGCAGAGGCAAGCAGGCTCTTTACCACTAGTGCCACCTGGAAACCCCAACCTGTGTCTTTAGGGTTACAGGGTTTGCTGCCCTTTCCCCAGTGGCTTAACAGCCGGCAGCCAGTATGTCCTGAGCAGGGCTAGCAAGTGAATGCAAAGTCTGTGTCCACAGTTCTCAAGCACCCTTGCTCTCCCTGCACCTGGGGCACATATGGCATTAAGTGACCTACTATCACTCTACATTTATTAGAAAACACATCGGAACTATCACCTTTTGAGCTGAAATACTGAACAGATGGAACACTGAGGTCTCATATGACTGAAAATGCCTCATGCCCTCACACAGCAATCAAAGTATTTCAGGGTCACAATCCTGCCTGTCTTTCAGTGTTTATGCAACTTTATAAACGAGATGTCTGGCAATCTGATCTGCTTTGCAATTAACCCATTTTTTCTTGTCCAAATGGTTTTAAGATTTACCCTGTATCCTAGGGACTCAGAAATCTCCTAAGGATAAGGCTAAGATCTTAGCCACCCACCACCCCTCTGTCCGCCCCTCTTTAAAGTTAATCCTGCTTAGTGTCTGATCAACCTTTGTGGTCTGGGGTAAGTTCCTTCTGATCAGAAATTTCTTCTGTCATTTCTTTTATTGTTGTATTATTTCTGTTCTCAAGTCGAAGTCGTCAACATAAATCTCACAGCACCAGCTCACGTGCTTTTAAAGCATTGTAAGAGATGATGCAACTGCCTTACACCAGGAGTAGCAAGATAACATTCCTGTACCACCTGATCAATACCGTAAGTTACTGGTTACATTATTTAAAATAGGATTTAACAGGGAAGACACAGGATAAGTCAGAACTGCAGATACAATCCCAAAATTACAATATACTTGAAGCACTGCTGCCACATTGACATTCCATGATCAGTAACCAGAGATGAAAAAGACAGGAAGAGAGATGAAGACTTTGAGAACCAAGGACTGATAAGGCTGTGTTTACTGTTTTGCTAGAAACCAAATGACATCATTAAAAATAAATCCAGAAGTCCTGGATGGCTAAATTCTCTTATGCTAACAGCAGATCTTGTTGCTCCTTCACTTCATGCCTCTGCTTTACGTGATGGATCCAATAGTGAACAGGAAAATACAAATTCTGATTCTAAACCACGTGCTCCCGGAACACAAATATATGCATACCTCTTCAAATTCTCATTCTCCAGAAAACAATCTGGAAAACTCTGACAATTAATAAGTAAATTAGCTTTAGGTATAAAACTGTAAAGAAAATGACAAATATTAAATGACTTGTCCAGAGGCACACAAATAGGAAAAACACACTATCTTTCTGATTCTTAAACACACCACAAAGTTTTCCTTAAGGCCTCAAGCCACCTGTCCATCCATTTTAAAACAGCCTAATGAACTGCAGTGCCTCATGTGTGAAGCCTCAAGTTAGCGCAGAGAGGACAGACGAGCCCTGAATCGCCACTTGGAGAACTGCACACCAACCAGGAATAGCTATTTTCAATTTACATAAACAAGAAATAAGCTCCTCTTGTATGTGAGCTATTCTGCATGGGTTTGACTTATTATAGTAGCATTTTGGTAATGACTACAAAAACTCAAATGACAAGAATCCAAATGTTGCCAATACTGCTTGCTAAAGCATATTTTTCAACTGCATCTATGTATTGCATTCATATAAAACTATTTTTATATAGTAGAAAAATATTCAACAAATGAAATTCAAGGGCATGATACTGTAGTAATAGACCACTAGCTTAATTCTTAGTTTTAAAAAACTCTAAAAGGAAAACCAAATGACTCATTTCGCGAAACAGATGGAAAACTTACGTTGGTCGCCGTGTCTCAAGTAAAGTCAACAATATCTGGATTGCACTGACTATGGCCGATTCATTTTTCTCCGTGTGGAAAATATTTGATAGAAGCTGCTCTATAATTTCTTGCCTAGGGAAACAAATCAACAGTCAAGTGCTAACTGTAATGTTATTTAACACCAACAACTTCGGAAGAAAAGGTCACAGTAATACAAGTACTATATAAGAATGTACTTAATTAACAAAGATCTACAACAGGTACAAGAGAGTATCGATTGCTGCATTTTGCCCTAAAATTAAAACCTGGTAAATCAAAATAATGTGGCAGTAGTGAAAGGGATCTGACTGAACTACTGCCCATGAAGTATTCTCCACAAGCTCTATCCAGGACATTGTGCTATGCATGTAAACAGGTCACAGTTAAGGTAAAATACAAGGGTAACCTGTTAGGTAAATTTATACGCATGTTCGCAAGGAAAATCTGTTTCCCAGGCTCTCAGTAATTTTTAGAACCCGTGCGGATTAAGAAATGGAATCTCCCTCGCACTGTGACCGACACCTGGGTGTTCCTGTCGCTCGCCTGACACACACACCAGTCTCCCCACAGTACAGTGGGCTCAACGGATACTAATGCCAGCTCCTCCGCCAGGGCAGGATGGCAAGCAGGGAATAAACTCTTCCTCTTTGGAGGAAGCAAGCAAAACTGACATCTAACCTAACTTCAGAGGATCTCCTCGCAGGAAGCAGTCTTCCAGTATTCCCAGCCAGCACTCAAACTGCTTATAAGACCTCTATCCTAAACAGTATTCTAAAAGTCACTCAACATACAGCAGTCTATAGAATAAATATTAAACGTGGAATTGAGCTCTGAAACACAGGCCTCACCGCAGAGAGAGAGAGGTACAAGCACCTCTGTGACACGGCCAGGAAGCGACCAGTCTGAGCCGACCTGAGTGCGAAGTCACGCTGGGCTCCCAAATGTGCACACAAGAAGTGAGTGGAGAGTAGTTCATCAGTAACTTTAAATAAACACATGCTGGCATATTTTGGTATCTATCAATAATATAATATACACGTACATAAATATTTTGTATAAATTATAAATATATACTTATTCTAGAATATATAAAAATTAAGTTCACCTGTTTTTAACTTTTATATGGCTACTAGAAAAATTTTAATTACATGTGACTTTTACTGTATCTTTATTAGACAATGCAATCATGCACCATATGAAATTACTGACAGCCCACATTTTTAACCTATCTGCATGGCAATTTCATGTGGTCAATCTCATACTAGTGTAAGTGCTGCACTGTATGAGGCACCTAAGCCACAATGGTAAGGGTAACTGAAACGGGGCAGGTAAGATGACGTTTCACTCAGAAGCTGACAATCTCTTACGTTTTGCTACTTGAGAGAACTAGTGAACTCCTTCCTATTCTATAATACACACTGGAAAATAAAACTTTATTTCTCAGAATACAGTTTAAAACAAGATATTTTGTCTCTAATTTGTTCCTTGCTTGTCTCACACCTGACAAATAACACACACATCTTATTTTAATAAAGGGGCCTTCCAAGCCAAAAGATGCAAATAAGCCTCAATACATAGGAAGACTAAAAAATGTTCCAACAAAGTCACTAAAAAGAACAACAGCAGCAGTAAACTGAAGCTAAATTGTCATTTATATGTAACAATGCTAACTATTCACGGTCTTTCCCAATTATTCATCCAAAGTAGGGAAATGCCTTATTTTTAACTTTTAGTTTTATGGATTCAGGTTGAATGTATGCACAATGCTTGATGGCCAATATTCTTCCTGAAATTGTGTGGCTCTAGATATACCAGTATGGTAGGCTGGCCACTCACAAACTTCACAATCGTACACCATCCCTAAGTGGTCTTCCACCTTAATACAAGATGTCTGTTCACTGGGAATTGCCTAGAAACAAGGGCAAAAGCAATACAAAGAAACGAAACACACAGGATGTATAACCCTTCATATCAGGTCTGGTCAGGCGACCCCTCGACAGCCGCCAAGATAGAGTAAATCCTAAGAAGAGCTTCTGATCAAATGTGTTTGCACTTAAGACTCTCTTCTCTCAGAGACCATGGAGGTAGTGACTGCAGTTATGATATCAGTGTCCCAGCTGACAACCCTACACAGAAATGGCTCTTATTTATTAGCACATTCTTACCCTGCAGGTCTCCAATGGCATCATGAGGGTCTGAGATGAGATGAGCAGGTTCTCCTGCCTTCTCGCCTGCCCACAGGTATTTTCCGGGGACTCAATCCCCACGTGAGGAACACTTACCAAAGAGTGACAAGTGTAACGTATCACAGAGTGTCAAGGAGAAAAGACAACAAGAACAGAGATGCAAACATACTTCTCTAGAGTGGCAAGCAGGGGGTCTGGCTCTGCACTGCTCTGGACCTGTAACATCTGGTCTCTGCTCAGGCGGACAATCTCACAAAGTGACTGTGCTGCGTTTGAGTGCCGCTAGAGGAAAGAAGCACAGTGTCAACTAGAGAACACACCAGAAGTCAAACTTACAATAAAGAGTGAAGAAACTGCTTAAGAAGTAACACAAATTAACACTAGCCATAAGCTATAGTAAATAAGAAATAACGTATGTAAAGTATTGAGTATTTTACCCTCTTGGGCTGATGAGCTTTGTTAACAATACTGACAACAAAATACAGCTGCTGTGTGTAGAGAAATGTGATTAAAGTTCTGGCAAGGAAAATTTCTATAATTAAACTTGAAGAAAAATGTACGCCCTCAACTGATATACTTTTAGCAGCACAGAAAGATGAACCCACTTCCTTGACTTAAAAAAAGAAAAATGCAGCTTTCTGGAATATATTAGTGAGTGAGAAACACTACACCTTCTTCCCATGCTTAGCGTGCAACCCTACAGGACACTCTGAGATGCTGGCACTGAGCACCGCCTGCCCAGGGAGAGCAGAACAATAGGATTCTAGTGCAGATGACAACAGGCACCAGGATATCAAAACCCACTGTTTGGAATCAGGCGTCAAAAACTTACTTAATAATACATAAACTGGTCAGTATAGTGTAGCATGCAGTTTATCACTTAATACACAATAGAAATATCAACAGGACTGTCCAGAAAAACAAAATAAACTTTCTTGCAAGTCAAGTAGAGAAGGTGCTGATGCCCCAAACACTTTGTCCTTTGCAAAAGGACTTGCTCCAGAGATGGGCCTCTCCTTCATCAACCCTTCAGACAGCAACCGCGTCCAGCTGAGCAAGAAAGAGGCTAGTGAGGAGCAAGCTGCATCCCCACCCCGGGAACAGGCCAGGCCCGCCTCTGCCCTCATGTACAGCGCACGGGAAATGTGCTCTAGAAACCATCGACCGCCCCCACCTCCCCTCCCCCAGCCACAGCAGGAGGGCCAAGGCCCCTCTAAAGCTGTGGCACCGAGACACGGGAGTGTCCTAAGTGTCAGCAGGAACAATACTACAGGGGGAACAAGTGAACTGTCAGAGGAGAGCTATAGCCCCATTCATGGCTAGCTCTTTTTTTTCTGAAGGGGACAGTGGGATGGAGAGCCTGCCTTTGATGAACTCCAGGTACCAAAAGGTTTTGAATGGATTGGAGTAGAAGGGAAGTCCCCCTTCGTAAGGGAGAACACTCTCTGGCCACATGCTTCCTCCCCAGCACTGTTCTTCTACGGCACTCACTCTCCAACTGACCCACAAGCCAGAGCATTGAAGGAGGGCGCCTGTGTGCGTGACACACCCGGCGTGTTCTCTGAACCAACTCCTTTGTAGATACTACATCGAACCACATGGAACCATCACTTCTCTAGGCAGAAATGGCCACATGCTGGCCACTCCACAGGGCTCAGAGCAGCAGAGAAGCTGGGTGACTGTCTCCACTACAGAGGCACACCGCTGGTGACTCCACCCCACCCCACCCCACCGAGCTCCCTGTGCAAACTCCAGAGCAGCTTTGACGCTGCCACCCAGTCAACCTTCAGCACCCAGGACAAAGGCCAAACCGGTGAGGGCACAAAAGCCTGAGTCCCCAAGAGCCCAGCACTCTGGGACCCACTGGGGACCCGGAGCTGCTGTGTGTCTGGAGGCTTTCGCCAGAATGGAAAACACAAGCGCAGACAGATGTGGCCACATCCTCTAGGCTAAAGATGGGGATAAAAGAAAAATGTGTGGAAGAGGTTCGTGACGAAGGCGAACAGATGCAGCCCCCGCTCTAAAGAGATGGAGTGAGACCCAGGGCTTACCGTTTCGCATTCGGGAAACTGGGTATCAGCAAAACACAGTGTTTTTGAAAGCCTCCAGTGTTTAGAAAACTGCCAACCTGAGGCATGCCAGGTGATCACTAGTACCTGTCCTCTACATTCACATCTAGTGAAATGATGCTCTGTGCCCAAAGGAACACGACTCTCTTTCCAAAAAATCAAGTTCAGAGTCACAAAAGAGAACTTACATCTTCTTCTTGCGATGGATGAACTATTTCCACGAGCCTCTGGATAATTTTCTCCTCATTTAACCACTGTAAAACACATTGTAGAAGGAATCATAGCAATGAGTAGCTCCTGTTCAAGCCCCAATAAAGATTAACATACTTGGAAATATCCATCATATTTTAAGTAGAATGCTACATGTTTTCTCTGAACTTTGAACACTACAGGAAATTAAAAGTCCCCCAAAGAAAATGCCAGTGAATATATTATTTTAACAGTAGCTATAGTACCAACTACTCCCAATGTCACAAAACCACATCCCCAAATTCTACACATCAGCTTAGTGATGTTAGTTCTCAGGCACTGGGTACTAAAAAAGTCTGCACTTTGGTTATGAAGTGGAAGGGGAGATGGAATTTATACATTTTCTGTAAGAGTGGTCATTTTAAGGGAGCTTCAGAAAGGCTGAGAAAAACTGTATGTAGTATCAAGCCTCCAGTTTAAAACACACGATGAACTTTTAGATTCTAAAACAAAAACAACCACAGGAAATGTGGGGGCTGGTGGGGGGCACAGAAAGTTTATCTGCCCGGTCACATGTTAGCAAAGAGCTGTTATCATGACTAGGACATTCTTCTTTAACTATGTATGAACTACTGCCATGAATGAAAATATGAAAGGGGTAAGAATAAATGAAAAAGCACCTGGCGTAATATCAATTCCATAAGGAAGAGAAATACCAAGTAAATAAAGGCAATCTCTACCTAGAACAGATGGGTGGACACACACACACAATCCCTAAAGTTAAAAGAGATGGGGGATGGGAGGCAGGAAATCAAACACAATTTGCCAAAGGCCACAGAGAAATTCTTAGGTTGTCCTCAAGCTCCTCAAGGAGAATATGCCAAAGGAAAATGCAAACAAAAGATCTCAGGAGACCACCAGGAAGGCAAGGGCCCATCTTATTTTAAGATGTTTTAAAAATATGCACATGACGCCCCTCCAGGGTCATGTTCACACACAGATTCTGACCCAGCAGGGCAGCGGTGAGATCCAGGTGATGTTTGGGACCACACTCTGAGTAGCCACGTCCTCAAACAGGACGCAAACACCTCTACAGAGAAGCTAGGGCTGAGGGTTCCGACCACCCAGACAGAAAGTAGGAAACTTTGTGGAACAAATCGATCCCCCCCACCCATCTCCACAGCTAATAGCAAGTACCCACAGTCCAAGCCCACAGCTGGCCCCCAGATCAAAGCCAGACATTCAGGAGTTCTAACTACCTTTCCCTCGACCTCTGCCTTTATTACCACCTACCACTACATCCCTTGAGAAGCACACCTACTCCCTTGGAAGTAAGCCCTCAAATCCAACCCAGAAGTGACCAAAGGAACTCTAAGAAACCATACTGAATAACCTACTCGAGTAATAACAGATATGAAGGCAACCACGCTCTTAGCCGTAACTGCCTTCTCTGGAGTCCCCAGTCTCTATGGAGAAAACACTCACACACTCAAACACACGCCTAAAGGTGGCCGAAGCCCCAGTTTAAGGCCCTTTCCTGGGGTGTTCACACCAGGTCCTCTCAGCTGACATACTCACGTGGCCATGCTCTCAGAAGACCTCTGCCTGGTCCTACAGACCCGGCCTGACACCGTTCCCTGACACCGCCCTCACACCACACCCCCCCACACCACACCCCACACCTGTCACGCCTGCCCACCTCGGCAGACTGTGCCCCTCTCCCTGGGACACTTCCTGGCAGACCCTACTAACTCTCCTCTGGGCCTTCCCAGGTCTTTAGCATTGTCAATAAAACTCATTTCCAGAGTTCTGAGGTTTGAGGTTGAGTATTAAAGACAGAATGGGCTGGGGAATGGTTCTGGAAAAGGCAGTGAAGGGGACGAAAGAGAAGAAGAGACAGAAGAGGCAGAGCTGAGAGCCTGCGAGAAACGTCACCTTCAAGTCATTCACACCCTCCTCTTCCCACCCAAGACAATCCTCCAGAGACGTATGTTCTGGAATAACCACCTCCCCCAAATCTGAAACACATGCCCCTTTGGAGGTAAACTCCATTCTCCTCCTATCCCATGCTCCCAGGCATCCATGAGAAGGTTACTCCTGAAGCCAGATACCCTGAGAATACCACACCTCTTCCTTTTGACTTTTAGAGACATCCCTGCAGGTGACCATCTCAAGACAGAGAAGACTCCTCACAGCCTGCTCAAAAGAGACTCAGAGCTCCCGACCTTCTCATTTCTGCTCTTCCCACCAGACCAGCTAAGACAAATCCTTAATTCAGTCTACCTTCCCACTCCGCTAAAGAGCAAGTCAGCAAAGGAAAAGAACAAGAAGACAGCCTGTGTCTCTCGAGACGTGCACAAGGGGAGCCCTAACCCTGGAAAAATCTGGATTTCTTCTTGTGGTGGAGCCCGCCTCCTGCCCCCCACACCCTTATTACCAGTCCCTGGAGTCCCAGGCGGATGGCACAGCCCAGGGGCGGGAGCGCCCCGCCCTGACCACTCACATTCAGCACCTCCTGCCTGGGCTGCGGGGGCTCGATGCACGTCAGGAGCCTGAGCAGCAAGTCCATGATGGCCGACGTTCCTATGTGCCTCATGATAAGGTCCACAAAGTCACGTTTCTTCTTCAGGAAATCCACAATCTAGAGGAGAACAGCCACAACTGAAAGACACATCCCAGGGGAACTACTAGCTTTAGGACACTTTCAGTCCTGACCCCTCGGGCTGCCCCCTCCAAAGTCCCATCACCACTTTAAGTTAAGGCAAGTCAAAGGCTGAATTAGTCATAAGATGTCAAACTGGAAAGCCTTCTGATTGTTACAGAACTGAAAAACCTCTTAAAAAAAAAATCTCCTAAACCACCACCTGTTCCCTGATACAAACACACCATAACAGAATCTTTCATTTCTGCTCACTTTCATTATTAATTCTGAAAGAATGAGGATCAAAAATTTAACATTCCATAAAAGGCAAGAGAATATACCACTTAACATTTTATAGACATAAAGCAAGTCCATTAGACTTTACACAAAAATGCAGACTAAACATTCAAAGTCCTAACTGTACTCTAACAAGTAAGAAAAACATTCAAAACAGATTTCTGCATCAAAGTGGCTAACTCACATGCTATAGAAAATCACAGCTGCATTTTATTTCAGCCACTCACCTGATCAGATTAACACCAGGAAGGTGAGCGTGGGAGAGACTGGCCATTAGCCCGAGGGGGTGAGAAAACATGACTGAAGTCAGGGCTGCCACCTGGGTCTCTCCTGCACAGGCAGAAACCTGCTCTGCCTCGGACACCCCGTGTACCTTCTGGCTTTTGTCCACGTGCAGGAATCATCTGCTCAAAAGTCCCAGAAGCAGCACAGCCAGTGAGGCAGCTGCCGTGACAGTATCACCCTGACGTCTCCCAGAAGCTTGTAAGGTGGGGCTGCTCAACTCAAATGTTCTAAGTGAGGAAACTGAGGCCCAGACCAGTCAAGGATTTTGTTAGAAGCTAAAAAGTGGTTGCCCTGAGATTTAAATCCAACAGAGCCACAAGCTCATCACCCCACATGACAGCTACAAGGCAGGGGTGAGCTAAAACTGCTTCACATCGTCAGGTGGAAAGGCAGAATTCACCATCACACACTGCTTCTCTAAACAGTGAGGTTAAAGGCTGTAACACAGACCTTCAGTAAGTTATACATAATTAATCCACTCACAGCTGAGTCACACAGTCATTTTTAAAAGCACAGTGGAGGAGAGGGGAAGAAAAGGAGGCATGTGGTCAAAACACTGCATTTAGTGGCCGAAGCACCGACTCCAGAGCCAGCAGGCAGGGCCGAGGGGGCACAGCAAGGAAGACGAGGTGGCCTGTCTGGGGGATGGCGCTCACCCACCAGCACTCAGGGTGCCCCTCACAGAGGCCCTGCTGCTCTGAGAAGTGTCTGTACTGGTTAACTCAGACTGTCTGAATTCAGTTGCACATACCCTTACTAACATATCATGTGATGGGAAACCTTCATTTACACTCATAATTCTCAAAAGGAGAGGAAGGTGCCAGTGTGGGCTTCTCCTGTAGCTGAAGGAGCAAGCAAGGACTCTCGAACCCTCTCGTGACTGAGGGCCGCACTGAGCAGCACACGAGCAGCAGAGTGGACGGGCCTGCTCAGGCGCTCAGTCAGCGCGTGCCGCCTCCTGCTCACAGGTGACACGTCTGACCTCATGAAGCCCAGGGGGCTCAAAGTGTGTCCTCAATCTGTACTAGAGACACGGAACACCAGGCCCCACAGACTTGGGCTCCCAGGCACAGATGGAGGAGACAGGCACGAGGAGATGTGAGGCTGGTCTCAATCGCGACCACAGCCATGGGGAACTGACCAGGACTCAGACTGATGGGTGACCTGAGCTCTCCTAGGAGAGTAAGCAGTCCTGTCATTTCTCACCCAAAAGCAGGAGGAGGAAGGACGAGCTGTACTGGAGTGACCGGGATTCGGGGATTACTATCTAAGAAACAAGAACCTCAGTTCCAACACATTGAGAAAGGCAATCCTGCTCAACTAAGAACACGAAAGCATGACCTCGTCTGTCTAAAATAAGACCTGTATGCACTTGGCCTTGGCACAGGGCAGGCGTACTGGGCCGAAAATAGTTCCAGCCCCTCCAGGTCTGCTGATAGCAAGGACGGGTCATGAAGCCTGCCTTCCACCATGAAGGATGCCAGGCCCAACTGCTGTGACCCCTGCACCCCCGTCATCACATCCCCACTGCCTGCACTCTGCAAACTCTTAAGTTTGTTCTTGGGCATCTGAGTCTCCTGCTGCTCCCTGGGGCCTGTTTCTGTAAGTGAATCCTAATCTCCTTGTAAGCAGATCCTTTTTCACACCAGTACCCGCCAGAGCCATGATTCTCAAATTTTAGCATGCGTCCCAGTCATCTGGGAGGCTTCTTACACCCCAGACTGCAGGCCCCACCCCAGGGTGTCTGACTCAGCAGGTCTGGAATGGAGCTCAAGAACCTGCATTTCCAACAAATTCTCGGGTGGTATTCATGCTGCTGGACCAGAGACCACACTTTCGAGAACAACCATACACAGCAAATACCTGGAAAAGACAAGTTTCCAGGTACACGAGAACAAGGAGGAGGAGGGAGAGCAGGACAGTGGGAGGAGGTTCCTGCCGAATCCCTGTCAAGCTCTACTGGGCAGAAGAGCAAAGCTCCCCGTGTTTGTACACAGCAGTCACTACCCAGAGGTCTCAAGTTTGTGGGTGGAAGCAAAATACAAGGAAAAAAAACACCTAACTGTATGAACTAATCACCAATCGCATTCATGGGAAAGCTTTCTGACTTAAGCTTCACTGTGATCTTCACCAGGGAAAAGAATAAATAAACGAACTGTTACTTTACTCAGCCACTGGGACACCACCCACGCACCCTGCCGCCCTGTGCGCCCTCACGCGGCCCTCACAAACTGACCCCAGCATGCTCTTGCTTCCCACCACCTGTCAGAAAAGCAAGCCAAAGTACACTGAAAAACTGAGATATGAGGCACTTAGAAAAGATCAAATTAGAAAGTGTTCCTTAAGGCGTTAAGCCAGTGGAAAGTCAGCAAGCACTGAGGATATTTAAGGTGTAAAATCTATTCTTTTACAGAACGTGGGACATAAGGCACACTCAGAACACTGAAGCAACAAAAATCACTGAGGATCACCTCAGGGGATGCTCAGCCCTAATACTTACCTTTTTGGAAAACAGTATTTACCTGTTCTGGTTTTCTGCTGATAAGAATACTTAGCACCTTGCTGAAGAAACTGGCAAGTAGTGGGTTCAAGGGGGAATCGTTTAGGAGGAAGCTATACAATTTCATTAGCAAGGATTCATCTTCTCCCAGTCTATCGTTCATTTGGGAGACATCAGAAGTGAGCAACTCACAAGATATATTTGGATACCTAGAAGAACAGGATACTCACGTCATCATCTGTATGAACAGTTTACTTACATAAATCAGAACACAGATCAGAAAGGCTTCCTAAAACTTTGTGAAAATTTTTTTAAAAAATCTTCCAGGAATGAGAAAATAATTTCAATCCATTCTGCCAATTTAAACTAGAGTGAATTTTCTTCCATGTCTAAAAACCAATACAGTTTCCCCAGCAAAACCAGAGCACACCTGGGGCTCTCAGGAGGCGAGGGCGGGGACCCCTCAGAGGGGGCAAGACACAGCCGTGGGCCGCAGCCCTCAGCCGCCCGCTCTGGTGCGGGAAGCAGCGCAGCTTTCAGGACCACTGCGGAGGACGCCGGCTTCCGGCAAACTGCCCTGCACACGGCACCGTGCGACTGCTCGAGACACACCTAGGTTCCTGGACAGGCGGCCTGTGTTCTCAGAAGGGCTGTCTACGGTATTAGAAAGCTGGGCGTGCCAAGTGTCCAGTCCACATTACATGTGAAGAGAATAAACACTTTAATATACTCGAGCAGAGAATAGGACACAGCCTGAATTCCCCAGGTGGGAAAACAAAAGTGTATATGGAAGCTGAGCTGTCCACAGAAGCCTTCCAGTCTCCTGGGACCAGTCCACCTTGGATCTCACTGCTCTGTGCCACAGCCCTCCTCCACAGGCCCCCAGCCCTGACAACACCCACACCCCAGTGGCACGTCTGCCCTGAGCACCGGGGCTCTCTCTCTGAACAGGCAGCAGCAGATTCCTTTCCTCCACTCGCTTCTTTAACCACAAATGACTTCTCATCTGTTCTCAGAGCGATCATGGAGACTCCCAGGCCTGCCCAGACTGTACTCTCCCCCACCTGCCATTCCCTTCTCTGCTCTTTATCCCTCCCTGGTGAGCAGGAGCAGCAGGGAGTGGCGAGCTCTGATGTTGACCAGGACAGGGAGATGACAAAACAGCCTGAAATGGGGAGAGGGATAGAGACTGTGGCTGGAACACATGCAGCATCCCTGAGACAAGCTGGCAGCTGCCTGTGGACCAGTGACTTGAGAAGCAACTGGCAGTGGACCAGAAGCTGCACTACTTAGCGGGTGGGACACTGAACAGTGTAAGAATGTCCCCAAATGAGCCTTTTCAGGGAGAAAAACACGGAAAAGACATACAACAGAACTGGCAGGCGTGTGGGCGCAAAGATCACATCGCCAAATTGCTGTCGTTGAGACGATGGCTCAATCAAATCAAAGTCTGTCCTCACTTCAATTTACAGCCACATCAGCTCAAAGACACCACAACACAAAGTCACCAGTAGGCCGGAGGAGCAAGCAGGGGTGGCCCGTGTGGCCTCTGGAGTCAAACAGCCCAGGCTCAGAACCTGCCTCCACCACTTACAAGCTGGTGGCACACTACTCAGGCACATTACCTGACTTCACTGGACCCCAGTTTCCAAGGCTGCAATGGGAAGACAACAATGCCTATCTCATGGAAGAGAATAATACAAAATTCTGAGAAGAGTGAGTAAATACCAGCTGCTTTAATTTCTCTTTATTTGCTACTGCATAAAACTTCTGAAATGAAGTTTTATTGGGATGTGGAGTTATCTCAACTGCCCCAATTTGAAAGCTGCCGGCAGGCAAAGGGTCAGTAAAAGGCAGGAGACCCCAACTCCACTGCAACCCAACATGTAAGGAGTATTCTCGAAAATCTGACACAGGAAGTCCAGAGGCGCGCATGGGCATCTGGAAAATTTTCCACCTGCTTCTCCACGGCTGACCTGGAGGTCCGATCACACTGAAGAAGCATGCACATGGGGTCCAGGCACTGATACAAAGGCTCAATGCTCTGGTGTGGCACAGGGTGGGGCCACTCTTGCTCTCCTACCTACCTCCCTGAGATTAAAGAAGCCTCTCAAAACACCCACCCCGCCCCACCCTGGCCTCAGCTGCTCTGCCCCGAGAACACAGCAACGGGAAGAGAGCCCAGCCCCGCTGGACGCCCGATCTGCACCTGGCCCCTTCCTCCTCTGCAGTGAAGTCCCCCTGCTGTCCTCCCGACCACCGAGGCCAGCCCAGCCCATCGCCAGGCCCCCACTCCCTCTACACCGGCCCGCGTCCCCAGCGCCACATCACCCCCCCAGCACGCAAACACACCAGTATTTTTTCCATCTAGGAAAACACACACGTCTCTCCTAGCTCCACACCTGCCAGTAGCTCCCACTTGCTCTTTCCGCACCTTTTCAGAGAACTACCTGAAAGAGCTCTCTGCTTGGCCTCCAATCCTCCCTCAAAAGCACTGCTTCTGTCCCACTGCTCTGAGGAACAGGCACTGCAGGGGCCTCCACATGGCAAACGCCAAAGGCTGCCTGGCCTGTCAGCACAGCGCCCAAGCCCCCTGTCCCATCTCCCCTTCCTGGAGCCTGGCCACCCTTGACATTGAGGGCAGCAGCCCCGCCTGGGTCTGTTCTTGCTTCTGAAGCCCCTCTATGGGAACCCTGACCAGACCACCCACATCTCAGCTTTGGGATTTATAACACTACTTAATGCCCTACTTTTAAAGTTCGGTTGGTTCAAATTTCTGCCACAGCAAACACCCCCTCATTCATAAACTAGTCTAAATACATACAACACTAGTCTAAATTTCCTTAGACGACCACAGTCCACCTTAACCCCGAGCAGCCTTCGGGTCCCATCTGAGAAACTGCTCTGCGCTAGTCCGGTGCTCTGAGTCAGCCAGCTCCATGCAGCTACCGTCGCTGCTGGCTCTGTCCGGGCCAGAGGCTCAGCAGAGAGCTGCTCCACTCAGCTCAAGCCACGCTCTCTCGAAATGGTGCCAACAAAAGGCTGCATGTCCAGGGGAACACACCTGCTCCTACAGCCTCCGAGGAAGCATAGAACACTGGCATGACCATACAACAGACGTCATGACTGCTTTTTGGTAAAATCAGCGACCTCCACAAGGCACGCCTACTCTCCTCCAGCTAGAGAAGTGTTCTGCCTCACGCAGCAGGTGAGGAAGGGGGGCCTCTTGTTCAAGTTCTTGGAGCTCTAGGAGGAGAGGGCTACCGTCCTCCCGGGGGGGCTCCTGCCAGGATGAGCCCCCGACGAGCAGCACTCACACATGTAGGCTCAATGGGAAGGGCATTCCAAAGCATGAAGCATCTGTTTTTGAGGAAAGGAGGACACAGGTATTTCTGCCACCAAATTTCTTTCCTCATCTGAAGTACTGATCTCCAAGTGGATGTGCAACTGAATGCCAGCTGACAATCTTAATGGCTGGCAGAGAGCATGAATTCCCTGAAGATCCAAGCCATGAGCAATCTGAAAGCATCACCAAGTATTATTCCTCTGACAACAAAATTCTCCCCATGAAGAAATGAAAGATAACTGAAAAGAGGGAGAGACTGAAGGAGAAACAAGAATTTATTACAGGCCATAATTCTCCCCATGCCATCAAACTTATTTAATGCATAATCAATGATTTTTGTTTTGTTCCTGAATCAGTTCTATTTTCAGGGGGAGAGGGATGCCAAACATTTCAGAAGAGCTGGAGGTGGAAAAGCAACCAGCTGAAACCCGATGCCTTAAATACATACGGAGTATTTATATTTACAACGAGTGTCCAGTGATCTGAACCCTGGGAAGCATTATGAGCTGACAAAACCAGTGCTGAAGAAGACAAATCCACAGTATTTATCCAAGGTATCAGCTGCTTAAACTTAGCTACACTAATGTTCACCAAGATCCATACCCTTATTTTCAGTTAACAAAAGGTCAGAATTTATAATCAGCAACACAGTTCATAAAACAAGCTCTGGCTCGGCTGTGCTGTGTGATCTTGACAGTCACATAATCTCTGTTTTCCTATTTGCAAAAAAAAGAGAAAATGTTTACTTGGATCATCTCACTATTTTAAGGAACTTTATCACTGTTTATAATGCACTTTGCCCTTAGACAAAACCTTCTGGCGGAAATTTACAATGTTCATTTTAAAAATTCTGTGATTTCACTGGACTTGGTTCCAGAACAGGCTGTTTGCCGCACTGAACCTGTCCCTCTTGACACGTTAACATTCTGTACCTGGTCTCCGGCAGCCCTGAGAAGTTGCTGGACAACAAGAATGGTGATATATCCTGCCCCCACTTCACTTCAGCCCCACCCTAAAGAGAAGATTGAATTTTCTTACTTGTATCTGATCTTTTCATCCATGTCTTGAGGTGGTTCTTCAATAATGAATGAGACTAAATCTTCGAGACATTCTGCTTTTAAGAGAAACTCTATAAGTTTGCGGTTCTGTGCTTTACACTCCTGTAAAACATCTTCCTCATCCATTAACTCCTTCAGCGTTACATCTTCTCTTTCTAGAAGTGTGTCTATGTGGGATGATGAGTGAAGATCAAATTTCCAAAACATGCTGGTCTAAACAAAATGCAGAGATATTTAAAATAAAACTTCAACTTCACATATTAATTTTTGAAATTTCCACTTAGTTTTACAGTCTAAAATGCCAACTTGAATCACATGAGAAAAACAAGTTTCATTTTGAATCTATAAAGTACCTTCTAAGTAAGTAAAACTGGTAAGACATTTTCCTTCTCAGAAAATATTTTTATAGATACCAAAAAATTCTGACTTGAAAATGCTGAAAGAATGCTAAAACCTGGTATTTTAACCTGCAAAATTAATCCACGCATACTTAAAGAATTTAGTGCTGGGAAAGGAAGAAAATAAATCTTTTCTTCAGGGTGAGAAATACATTCTTACACAGAACTAGTATCCTCAACTACAAATGACAAGTATTGAGACCTACGTATGAGGTACTCTCCAGAATATTACAACATTAAATAATCACCACAAACCAGAACTTTTAGCCCCAATAGCACTTTCACAGCTGAAAATCGGAAAGTCGTAAAACAGTAAAACCTATGCCAAAATCACTGCAGATGGTGATTGCAGCCATGAAATTAAAAGACGCTTACTCCTTGGAAGAAAAGTTATGACGAACCTAGATAGCATATTAAACATCACTTTGCCAATAAAGGTCTGTCTAGTCAAGTCTATGGTTTTTCCAGTGGTCATGTATGGATGTGAGAGTTGAACGGTGAAGAAAGCTGAGCGCCGAAGAGTTGATGCTTTTGAACTATGGTGTTGGAGAAGACTCTTGAGAGTCCCTTGAACTGCAAGGAGATCCAACCAGTCCATCCTAAAAGGAAAGCAGTCCTGGGTGTTCATTGGAAGGACTGATGCTGAAGCTGAAACTCCAATACTTTGGCCACCTCATGTGAAGAGTTGACTCATTGGAAAAGACCCTGATGCTGGGAGGGATTGGGGGCAGGAGGAACAGGGGACGACAGAGGATGAGATGGCTGGATGGCATCACCGACTCGATGGACATGAATTTGAGTAAACTCCGGGAGTTGGTGATGGACAGGGCAGCCTGGCATGCTGCGATCCATGGGGTCGCAAAGAGTCAGACACGACTAAGCGACTGAACTGAACTGATGCCATTCTTAACAAAGAAACAAAAAATAGTAAAACCACCTTAAAAAGAGAAGTGTTCACCTTGTCTTCAAAGTTTATCATGGAAAATTAAACCTTAGGATGTCTACAGATTGACAAAATAGTTCACCATGCTTATTTTAAATATTTCAGCAAAGTCACTGACTGAAAAGCTACTAGTGATCTTCAAATACCTTCCCATGTCCCATCCCACAGTCATTGGGTTCAAAAGTAAAAGCAAAGTGAAGCTGCTCAGTCGTGTCTGACTCTTTGTGACCCCATGGACTATAGCCTATCAGGCTCCTCCATCCATGGGATTTTCCAGGCAAGAATACTAGAGTGGGTTGCCATTTCCTGTATATGCTTATTTTGATCTATAAGCCAAATTTCTGATACTCTAATAGTCTCTCCACTTGAAGTCAGAAAGCTAGATGTAGTTAATAATTTAGTCTTAAGTCTTTAAAAAAATTAGGTCTCATTTAAAGCAGCATGTCTTTTCATTTTTCTGGAATCCCACAGATGAAGCAAAATATAAAGAAAAGTATTAATAAATGAATCACAAAAGCAAATCTGATAGAGCCCTTACTATTGGCTAATTTATCAGCATAAATAAAATACACACTCATGATCATCAACTTAAAACTGTAAATGTCCACAAACTATTAAAACATGGATCAAGATACAGTCACGTATCTACATCGATTAAAAAAATAACTTCCAAAATTTTAACCTTATAAAGGTAACTCATCATATACTGGTTTATAGAAAAAAATGATTAGTGGTGCCGAAATAACAAGTGTTGGCAAACTTTGGCTCATAGACCAAATCCAGCCCACAGACTGCAAGCTAAGAAGGGCTCTGATACTTTTAAAGGGTTGTTAAAGAGAACGGAGTTGTTAAAGGTAAGATTAGTTGACAGTGACCATGGGGGCCTGCACATTCACTATCTGGTAGCTCACAGTAAAGTTCAGTGTCCTGTCTCACATTCCTTTCTGCCATCTCTGCAACTGCCTGGAGGGGTGGAGCACGCGGTGCCAGGCATGACCATCTACCAGATTCATTCTCTCCCTTCCATGGGCATTTGCCTAGACCACGTCCCCAGCTTCTTGGGCAGGTAGGTATGGCCACATGAAACGTTTTCTCCAATGTGCTGTGAGCCATCAAAACCTCCAGGTGGCCTCCTTTTCATCTGGCTGAATGTTGATGACAAAAAAAGACCCTGAGACAGACAGTAAGGCCCAAAGATGGAAGGTACCTAAATCCCCGAGTCAACCTGCGGGCGCTGCCCGCCCACCTGAGAGTCACCCCAAGCCACGGTGGGAGGAGCCACCACACAGCTGGTCTGGGATCCAGCAGGGCAGCCCACGCACCCAGCCACTTCCTCCCATCTCCTCAGCCCACAGCGTCAAGCTCCTTTATACTTACTTTACTACACATATGAAAAGAATTCTTGGGCAACTATGTGTTTTAAAATGCCTAACTCCTTTTGCTCTCCACTATCCTAAATTAGAATAGCATTTTTCAAATCAGGACACCTTAAAATACACATTTCCACAGTGCATTTTCTTTAAATTGAGTAGGTATACTACAGGCTTAAAAATAAAATAAAACCACCGTAGACTCTTAAACAAACATCATTTTATCTTCCAGCAAAAACAGCAAACTGGACTGGAAGCAAACAGCGCTGGTCAATCAGTTACCCCTGGCCTGCCCCTAAGTTCTGCTAACTTGACCTTTGAAGTGGAATCAAGCTAGGCATGAACTAACAGGTACAAAGGTCAACTGACAGGGGCCCTGAGGTAAATGGAGCCCTTTGAAAAATGTCTAACATACTAAAAAAAAAAAAAAAACCACACACCTGAAAGGAGTCAGAATTTCAGCAGCTCATTTTGAGTAAATGTAAGTACTCTAAAATTTTTACCCTAGCTATATATCTCAATAGGATTGAGAGATAAGAGGGAACACAATTTCTTACAGTAAACCAAATCACAGACTTTTAAATCAATACTAACAAAGAGATAAATGGTAAAATCAAACTACTCTCCATCTTTCTGAAAAATCCTAGAGTTGTTTTTGCCCTTCATGGATCACAGCCTTGTCACAGCGAAGGGGCTCATATAAGTCAATGAAGCTATGAGTCATGCCGTGCAGGGCCACCTAACATGGACGGGTCACAGTGGAGAGTTCTAACAAAATGTGGTCCACTGGAGGACAGACTAGTAAATCACACCAGTATTCTTGCTGGGAGAACCCCATCAACAGTATGAAAAGGCAAAAAGATATGATACCAGAAGATAAGGCCCCCAGGTCAGAAGGTCTTCAGTACGCTACTGGGGAAGAGCAGAGGGCAATTACTATCAGCTCTAGTAAGAATGAAGAGGCTGGGTCAAGGTGGAAATGATGCTCAGCTGTGGATGTGTTTGGTGATGAAAGTACAGTTGGGTGCCGTAAAGTACAGTATTGCATAGGAACCTGGAATGTTAGGTCCGCGAATCAAGGCAAATTGGATGTGGTCAAGCAGGAGATGGCAAGAGCGAACATCAGCATCTTAGGAACCAGTGGACTAAAATGCACAGGAATTAGTGAATTTAATTCAGTTGACTATTATATCTACCACTGTGGGCAAGAAGAAATGGAACAGCCCTCAGAATCAACTACAGTCTGAAATGCAGTATCTGGGTGCAATCTCAAAATGATAAAATGATCTCAAGTGTCAAGGCAAACCATTCAAAATCACAGTAATCCAAGTCTGTGCTCCAACCACTAATGCCAAAGAAGCTGAAGTTGACTAGTTCTAAGAAGACCTTCGAGACCTTTTAGAACTAACACCCCAAAAAGATGTCCTTTTCATCACAGGGGACTTGAATGGAAAAGCAGGAAGTCAAGAGGTATCTGGAGTAACAGGCAAGTTTGGCCTTGGAGTACAAAATGAAGCAGGGCAAAGGCTAACAGTTTTGTCAAGCAAACACACTGGTCATAGCAAATATGGTCTTCCAACAACACAAGAGACAACCCTACATATGGACATCACCAGATGGTCAATACCGAAATCAGATTGATTCTGTTCTTTGCAGCCAAAGATGAGAAGCTCTATACAGCCAGTTAAAAACAAGACCTGGAGCTGACTGTGGCTCAGATCATGAGCTCCTTATTGCAAAATTCAGGCTTAAACTGAAGAAAGTAGGGAAAACCACTAGGCCACTCACATATGACCTAAATCAAATCCCTTGAGTATACAGTGGAGGTGATGAATAAGATTTAAGGGATTATTAGATCTGATAGTCAGAGTGCCTGAAGAACTATGGATGGAAGTTTATAACACTGTGCAGTAGGCAATGACCAAAACCATACCAAAGAAAAAGAAATGTAAGAAGGCAAAGTGCTTGTCTGAGGATGCCTTACAAATAGCTGAGAAGAGAAGCAAAAGGCAAAGGAGAAAGGGTTAAGATGTACCCATCTGAACGCAGAGCTCCAAAGACTAGCAAGGAGAGATAAGAAAGCCTTCCTAAGTGAACAATGCAAAGAAATAGAGGGAAAAATAGAATGGGAAAGACTGGAGATCTCTTGAAGAAAATTAGAGATACCAAGAGGACATTTCATGCAAAGATGGGTGCAATAAAGGACAGAAACACTATGGACCTAACAGAAGCAGAAGAGATTCAGAAGTGGCAAGAATACACAGAAGAAATGTACAAAAAAGATCTTCACGACCCGAATAAGCAGGACGGTGTGGTCACTCACCTAGAGCCAGACATCCCGGAGTGTGAAGTCAAATGGGAAGCATTACCACAAATAAAGCTAGTGGAGGTGATATTGAGCTATTTCAAATCCTAGAAGATAATGTTGCTAAAGTGCTGCACTCAGTATGTCAGCAAATGTGGAAAACTCAACAGTGGCCACAAGACTGAAAAAGG